ATAATTGTCATTTAAACACTTTTCATGATTTTGTCAGGCGATGATTAAATTACAGCTTCAAAAGTCCAAGTCCTGTTGGTGCATTCCTACTCCATTTGAAAATACATGATTTCTCAATAAGATTTAAAAAAATGTTAATCTAATTTCTACCTTTAAAAAAAAATTGGCGTCAAAACTTTAAATCGTTAAGCCATCTCTCTGTCCTTTGGTGATTTATAAGTCAACATGCTATATACAGGATAGCCCTTCCTCCACAAACCCAGTGAGAGCTTCAGAGCACCACCCCCCAGACCTGACGGCTAGTGCTGCTCCATTCAGAGAAAAACTAAGCGCCCTCTCCCCTCATGTTAGTGCCTCATTCCATTCTGAGGCAGGAGTAGGCCTCGAGTGTTCTTGATGGCTCTCCATCCCTCGTGCTATGAAGGAGACTGAAGGGTGGAGACCCAGTCAAAGGGATGGATTTAGAGGACAGAGTTTGGCCGCTCCAATTTTGCAGGACGTGAAAGTGGGGCAATCTGTTCCTTGGATGATCTCCAATTCTACTTTCCGGGGACCGATACACTGAAAATATATCTATACACATGCTCTGTCCTACATAAGCAGAGAGTGAGTGAGTGGGAAAAAAAGAGAAAGAGTCTGACAAAATGAAACAATACGAGCATGTGTTAAACTGACTCTCCATAAGGCCTTCACAGTGCAATGTTCTGGGACTGTGGTTATAAATCTCCTTGGGCAAAAGAGGAAGAGAAACCTTGCTGCAAACAGGCAACACTGTCAATCCAGCTAACTCTGCAGATAGTCCACATAATGCAAGCAGGAATTACCCATTCTGCACAGCTTAGCATTACTTCGGTTTATATTATATTCCTACCAGTCTAATCCAGTTGCACTTGAAATAATGCTATAAATGCAATACCATCTCAGAAGAGGAAAAGCTGAACAGATAAGGAGCTATCTTTGACCTATGCGGCACTTTCATCTATCCATTTTCGCCATCCAGCTCCTCAAGGAGAACATTTGTCTCTGTCCACGCCGTCATGATTAATCAGTACCTAACTCTTCATCCCAGTTTGCCTCATTTTTTCTTCTTGTCCGAGGGCTCTGTAACTGACAATACATATTAAAAATACTCTCCTAATACCAAATTGCGTAGATTTAGCTTTTATGTGTGCACTTCATGCTTATAGGACATCTGCAAGTGAGAAGCACATGAAAGTTCTAAACAAACAACTTTGCAACAAGTCTGGCTTCCAAACAAGTACTATAAATTAATTAGGTGTAAAAATGAAGTGTGAATTGCGTACCCCTCTCATTTTACTGACCCCGCGACACACAAAGTGGTGGTTACAGAATGATCCAAACCGATCACACCACATTAGCCCCAGCAATGGGAAAAGCACCACTGTACAAAATTATTAGTCTTTTTATTTATTTTATATGGTCACACATAAACTCTTAACTTGAATTACTAGAAATTTGATATAACATATATCTTATTCTGAAATGTGGTTTAATTAGACTCAAATACATAAACCCTATGTCATATCTAAATTCTTTGACATGTTTACTTGTGGGTTTAGGATTGGTCAGGGTTAAAGAGCGGAATACATTGCATTTATCAAATAATACAGCAGGACAAAGGTGTCATATTCAAGTAAGCTGAGGCTGACAGGAAAAATCTGGTCTCTCTGGGGGTTTCAGACTGCTTTCCCCTATTCTCTCGTCCTACTGGAGGAAAAGTCAGGACTAGAAGACAGATGATGGGCAGCACAGCAGCAAGAGAGCAAAATCCAATGCTGAGAGTTTTCTGAAAGTGTAATTAGAATTTCTGCCATTTCATTATACTCAAATCTCATTTTTCCTTTCATTCTTTCTTTGTCCTTAGGTTGTTCTTTTATTCCTCTGTCATTCACTATTCCACTCCAACTGCGGATCCTTTTCTTCCCCATCTGACTACTCTGCTTTATGCAAAATACAACTCTGTTTTTCTCTCTGGTGCATTCCCCTTTTGCTTTTACATCCCAATTAGTTGGCTCCAGTCTACCCTCAGCTTGTCCCTCTTGTTCCTTATCTTGCCGAGTGGAAGCTCAACATTGTTCAATATTTAATGAGACTTAGTTCATAAATCAGCCTGCTCTATTCCCTCCTGGTGTGCTTGAATGATAGCATTAAAACCATGTAAGTGTTAACGGGCCGTTCTTTGTCAGTTTTTAATTAAAAAAGCTTTTGGCCAAGAAAAGGGATCACTTTTAACTGTGGAACTCATACCTGCAGCAACGGACAGAGGTGGACCCTATTGTGTACTGTCCTGTCTTGCCGAATATGGATTTCAGGCTGCTGAAAAATGAGCAGCTAATGTCTCTCATGAATATTGACCGGCACTGAAAGTTTACTTTATTCAGGCGGTAGAAAACTTTAATGAAAGAAGTTTTATATAGACACAGATATAGCTTTCATAGCCTGTCATAATTCCTCTATAGATTGTAACCTCAAATTGAAATCACCTTATCATAAACTGGTATTTTATGGCGTATTTCAGTCAATACGACAAAGAATGGTAATCTAAGTAATAATTTAAGCAAGACACTTAAACATGAGCGTATGAGCTCATCTCAACCAGCTTTAGTTCCAGATTTAGTTCTTTCCATTTATCTATTAGGGATATTTGGCCCTTGTATTTAGTTTGCACACTCAGACCTCTGGTAGTGGTCTAGAATGTGACTGCATCTGATGTTCAATCAACCAAAGGGACTACATGTCTCTCCATTACTTGCTGAGCTTAACTGACAACCCATTACTGTCTAAGTAAAATTTTAATGTTTGCCTGCAGATTGACTTCTGCTTCGACACCAAGCTATCTGACCTCAGTCATTCAAGCATCATGCTTCCTCCTAGTTCCACTTAATAACTTAGTCTGGATCAGCCTTTCCTTCAACTCTGCTGTTTTTACAATGGCAGAGGCTGCTATCACGTACCATCAGAGCAGGGGAAAGACTATCTTCAAGAATCGCTTTAACTTTTGGTAAACAGCAAGCAGACAATCAGCCAATAAACCTGTCTTAGGTGTCCGGTAAGGCAGTGAATTAGGTCTTTAAGAAGGGCTAAAAGTTACTTCTAATATGACTTCTCTAATCATCTCCATTCCTCCAGAACAAGCAGTGACTCGCATTACAATGGACTTATGTTTAATGAAGAAGACCACTACTAGTTATTCTTTACATTTTTGTTGTTGTTGTTGTTTTGCACTGATGAACACTGCCCTCTTGCACAGGTGTAAATAGTTAGCCCTTTTACTATTTGTTCAAATTCCATTTTGTTTGTTAAGACACTGGTGAGGACACAGCTGTAAGCAGTGCTACACACCTGTGGATGACTTTGATCTCCAATAGGGGCTAATAAGTGAATAGCCATAGCTCAATTAAGACAGTACCCCTTTAACTTCCATCAGCACCACTCCTCCTACATCCTCAAGAAATTTCCAAATGAAGTATGTTTGTGTTGGTAATCTGTGACTGAATGGGTTTACAGCTGTGTCCTGATTTGAGCTGTGTCTCAATGGGTTCCATCTGTCCATCTGTGCATTCGGGGAGCCACTTATTTCAGACTCCCAACTCATCTGATATTCAGAGCATCAAACTGCCAATGATGTACTGGGGTATTCCATGCGTCAGTCACCGTCATTGACAGTTGGTGGCAACGAGCCAGATGATGAACTATTTTTCCATCTTTAAGGTCATTTTTACATAGCCTACATGTACTAACATACAGCAGGTTAGTTACACGCCCATTTGCGCTGTCCTTGAATCACTTGAACGCTTTGGTGTGCAGAAAAACAAATGCACACAGATTCAAACAAACACACATGACACAGGCCGCCGCACAGTTTGGTGCTGAGCAGGTTGCCCATGTGCAAGTGACTAAATGCCCCTCTGCAGAGTCCCAAGGAAATTTGCTGTGTCTCCTCTATCTTTATGTTGAATAGAGTCCACTTGTGCCAAAAAAAAATAATTTAACACATGCGTGCTATGATTTCTATAAAAACACATCCCTCATCAAAATGTATAAAAGGGAGCCGTAGATGGAGACTTAAAGCAAAAATCCACCCTGATGTAATTTAAATATGAAATTGTTGTTATTAAACTGTTGAGGGATATCTTATTGTTAGATCGTGCAGGGATATTGAGCATTCTACAGAGGGCATCTTTTGTAATGACCCACTCTCTTGAGCTCAAGCAAAAATGTTCTTTTCGTAGACTTTGTGCCCGCATTCCCAAAAGGGAAATCAACTGACCGTCAGTGTAAATGTCAGTTTAAGTCACTGGGCTATCTTTAAAACATTTTATCCTAATGCCCTTGGATCTTGAATATGGACAGCTGTTAAGCTATCCCAGGCAAACTGTTTTCCAACAAGTCCTTAATTACCTGACTCAATGATATTTATGTTCATTCATCAGCTTCCAGGTACTGAAAGGGAATATCAATCCCTTTGATTGTTATTTTATACATATTGTTCTGAATGCACAACTGCACAAACATTTGTTTGACGAGTTGAAGCGGAGGGGAAGAAAATGTATTTGATACAATCAGGGTGTGCTGAGGAACTTGCATTATCGCAAGGTCGATGTGAACACTGGAAATATCCCCTGCTTCATGATGAAGGCAGAGTTTGTGCAACTCTCAATAGGGTGGAGTTTTCCTTTAAGAAGCTTCCATTTGGCCTTTTGTCCTGGGCTGGAAATCAAACAAATGACTACTCCATTACCACAAAGCAGAGATGATCTTGACCTCATGTGATGCTATGCTGTGTATCCACCTCACTCTCTTCTGCACAGAACCTGTGATGCAAATTCACAGAGTTTATATTTAGCCTGCCTTCCATCAGCCTGCCATTCCCTGATGCATTCCCAGTGGCTAAATGGGAAATGTGGACCAACTCTGTGCTAATTCACACATGCAGACTTTTTAACATTGCCAATGGCTAGTTTAGCCATTTCTGCGTGTGTCTTTTAACCACACACATTGTTGTTCTGTTAAGTTGACTCTATTGATAAAATGTGAGTTAAATGACCAAAGTTTACTCCCTTCTCTACCTGTTTCCCACAGCGTGTTTCTAAGGATGAAGCCAATCTCATGGGATAGCCATGTTTTATCTCCATGACAGCTATATCACTCAGCCCTCTCTGCAGTGACCTCCTGCACAGCAAAGGATGCTGGGAAATAATGAGCACTTTTATCCCGGTCAGGATGACAAAGATGGGGAGGATGAGGAGGAGGAAGAGGAGCAAAGAAGAGAAAAAAGACAAAACAACGATGGACGCAAGAAGGAGAATGGAGGATTAGAAGGTCTGGTCGATAAAGAAATGACGGGAGGACGGCAGTCCTGGGAAGGGAAAGGTGGTGATGTGGTAAAACCGGCAGCCATTGTGGTTGGTAGACAGAGAGTGGACCGAACACTGAGGCCAGGTAACCTGGGCAACAGGGGAATCCCTCACATGACCAATCAGGCTCCACAACATCATCAAGCAGCCAACAAGCAGCAGCAGCAGCAGCAAATAGCAGCAAAGCGACGAGCTCAAATGGAGCGCAGCATGACCACAGCGGGCCCCATGGAGGACGGCTTCCTGACCATGATGGTGTTCCGCATTGGAATACCTGACATCAAACAAACAGTAGGTGCATCGAAAACACCATCCGTATAACCTGTGTAAAACTAACAAAGCAGTCTTAAAAATCTTCTTGGTCTTTTTTTACAATTGGTTTTAATTCAAAATAGAAAAATGTAAGTATATCAAATATTAAATAGAATTGAACTAAAACCTAAAACTAATAGGAAAGTTTAACATTTTTCTGAAGTGGAGCTCCTTTTTTCTTGTTTATTTATCTTATTTCTCCTGTCTTTAATGGCCAACCTATTAAGAAAATTCAAGCAAATCTAAAAAACGGTCAGAGATGTAATGTAGGACAGAAAAGTTAATAAAATATACAAGTAAGACTATTCGAGTAAAATCTACCACAGCTACTACTGATGAAAGGTAGGACTCTCAGGATTATGACAGATGGATCCACAGTAGGCTTAGCCTTTGAGTTGAGTTCCTGCTCAAAATATTAATGCATAATTGTAAAGAACTTTAAACATTTAGCAGTAAGTGTGTCATACCATAAAAGAGTCATGAGGTTCCAGGAAATGTCAGTGTTATAGTTAAGGACAGAAACCTCATGGAAGCAGGCTGACCTTTGAGCTCTCAGGCTACACTGCAAGAGCTCCAGGATCAAGAAAGCCACATGGGATCGGAAATGCAAAAGGGGGTAGTGTTACACAATCACCTCACAATTCATGAATGACTCTTCACTGAAGCAACCAGTACTATTTTGATGAAAGTAGACTGGTTGTCTGAATTTACTCTTGCCTACAGATGGTAGAGGTGGGGATTACACCACCAGCTGTCTTCAAAAGTTAATTACATCATGGCTACTTAGCACACTGATGCATACTCCCATTGTATATTCCTGTCAACACATTTTTAAGAGCTGTAGATCCAGTGAGCCGGCTAGGATGAACACATGCTCTATAAATACTTTTTTTAAGAATAGTATTTTGTTTGTTTGCTTTTTGCTGGTTGGGGTCAGGAAACTTAGCCCTATGAAGGATGATAGTTGTAAAATATGAGCCTATAGTACATCATACATGGGCAATGAAAAATACACATGAAAATTTGACCACCAACACAGCATTTACCTAAAATTGAGGATATTGTAGGCAGCAGGATTTGTGTAAGTGTGGCCATATTAACGCCTTGTAGGTAGGGACATTTTGGTTTCAGTTAGTATGTTCCAGGGCTTTAATGATGAGCACTCAGTAGTAGCACTTCAGGAAGACACTGACATACCTCCTCCCTTCAGGACTTGCTCAGCATGGCTCCACAGACAGAGTGCATGTGTTAGACTGACCAGTGTGTAGTGTGAACCCGTCTCATATGGCAAAGGTTAAGCAGGTGTTCAGCATCTTCTGCTCTGCAAGAATGGACACAGTGAGCAAGGTCATTGAATCAACCAACAATTGCTTCATTTGGACATGTATTTGTTAACTATATGTGCAAATTCATTAATAATAATCTATAAATTGTTGTTGGTTGTAGAATAAAAAAGCAAATAATACAGTTTCAGATTAGTCTCTCTCACAAACACGGCTTTGATAGGAGGTAGTTCCAAATCAGAAAGTAGTTCACGCCAAATCTCCGTGGTAATACTGCTTCAGAGTGAGCTACGGCTTTAATCTGACCAACAGAAGTAAAAAGGAAAATAGAAATTCCCAGTTCATAGGACAGGCTTGCATTTGCTTCCTAAATCAAACAAACTCCAATGTTTTTGCACAGGGATCTAACTGATATCTAATATTAGCACAGTCCAGTTTTTGTAATTGTTTTTTCTTTCGTCCTTATACGTGAATATCCTTCATTTTTTCTCATGTAACGTTTTCCAATTCTCTTCCATGTCTTTTTTTTCTTTTTTTCTTACAAAATAATGTCTTTGTATTACACAAATAGCAAGCACCATCACTGCAAAATATTTTCATCACATTTATCTCACAAGACTGGAGGTAAGTCCCGAAGGATAAAAAAATAATACAGAGCTTCAACGGTAGTAAGCAGCTTGCAAGGGCAGACATATTCAGTCAACAACACCATGTATGCATCTGACTTGGGTCAGACATGGTAATAATTAAGTTCCAAAACTGAAGTTAGCATCATTTCACACCTACAGTGGCTGTCAGCTCTTTGGTGGCACCAGGTGAGAATTGCCAGGCCCAACACACACTATATCTGGGTGAGAATGCCCCACTGTACCCCTCCCCATTCCTTTCTCTTCATTATTCCACTCTCTAAACATGCCGACTGTTCTACATGTCAGCTAATCTGCCCTCAATATAACTGTAATTGCTAATTATCTAATAGGTTTTTAATGAGTCTGGGGAGAGCTGTGGAATAGAGTAGCTCTGGATGGGAAAATATATATATATGGAAGGCTCAGGTTTTCAAATATATAAATCACAGTGAGGTCTGCATCCTGCAAACAAACTCTCAAAACCCCTAAACCTTGCTCCTGAAATGCCATTAAGTTGAACTATGGAGAGCTTAAGAGAGAAAGGAAATATTAGGAGCTGTAAGGCAGGGATTGAAGAAAATGTGGAGAAATGAAACTGGGGGATTAAATAAAATATAAGTGAAATGTGCCCCCTCAAAAAAAAATGTATTCTGTCCACTGAAGGGAAAAATACAGCCAGAAAGACCTCTAAAAAGCTTTGATTATACTAAGCAGAGCAATGAGGAGAGGCAGCGTCACTGCAATATACAGTAAACATTACGTCAGTGTTCCATCTCCCAGGGATTAGCCATTCGATCTCTCTGTTTCATAAAACACACACACACACGCACACACACACACAGAGTGGAGAAGTACACGCACTGCGCTCTTCCTCCCATAAGTATGTGCAAACACACAAATACTCCTTCCCAGTTCACCATGCGGGTACACAAACACACACGCTCAGCTACATCATGCGGTTTACATCCCAGGGACCGCCAAGGCATTGCTACAGCAACGAGTGCCTGCCTCCACTAATGAACTGGTTGCCATGCCAATAGAGTTGGCCAACCTATCAAATAGTGCAACCTAGTCGGGGCTTTCGGGGGGTTTTTGGTAGGGGTGGGGGGCACGGGAGCGTGCTGAGCTGTGCATTTTCGCTTACAGCTCTCAGACATGGACATGGAACAGCCCCATGTTGGACAGCGTTTGTGTGTCATGGTGACAGGCCTCAGGTATCTGCAAAGGCCAAATGTTCCCACATCATTTAAATTTGACTCTACTTCTTTAGAAAAGAAGTAAAAAATGGAGAAAGAGAAAAATTACAAATATACTGCGTACATGAAATTGTGACTTGAAGCCACACATCTCGATTCCAAAAAAACAAGAAAAACCAAGAAGTAAGTAATCCTATTTATCTAAATGTGACAACTGATCAGTTGTTCCACCCCGATAAGCTTTCAAATACTGCATACATAGCATTCTCACACATCCGCCATTCACTGACTAGTGTTAAAACATTCATGATATATCATCAATTCAAAATGATGAAAAGAACCACTTGGATATTCAACCCGACGCATGTGCTCTCCATACAGAGGCTTCAATGAAATCGTGTCTCCATATGAAAATTATAGTATGGCATACCGTGATTTGAGAATACAATTATAAACTATCATACAATGTCTGGTTTATTTTAGTATTCCTCAAAGTTATAAGTAGTGTTAAGGAGCTAATTGCAATCTGCTGTCCTGCTGTTACAGGGTAGAAATGGTTCTATTATGCTTGGAACATAGATGAAGCTTCCTGTAGCCAGCTAATCAAACATGAGAATTAGCCCCAAGCGACATGGCTAACCAGCAGCTCCTCTTCAATGTTGTCATGGCAAAAAAAGAAAATATCCACATTATTACCATTCCAAGAGTCTTGTTCATTGAATTTTGCAAGATAATTTATTCATCACACTTAATCAAAGTTCTTGGCAGCTGTTGTGTAACTTATTAAAAGTTGTAATTATCAATTGTAGGTCAAAAAGTGTGACACAGAAATCTACTGTTGAGACCTGAACACGTGTTCGTGCTCGGCCTCTGATCTCCTGTCTGTGTTTGTCTGTTGTTAGAGGTGCCTCCAGTTTGACCAGGACTGCACGGTGTGGAGCGCTAAACAGCAGATCATCTGCTCCCTGGGGGAGTCCCTGTGGGATGTTTACAACTACGGACTTTTTCAACCTGCTGGTGAAGGACGGGATGCCAAGTTTCTGGAAGAGGAGCGGCCCCTTCGGGACTACGCTCGGACCTTTGAGAAAGGGGTTCCATACCTGGAGGTATGAAGGATACCGTTTGTAGCCATTTCAACACAATACGAGGTCTAGTAGGGATCATACTTTAGTTTCTAACTTGAGTATTGTCATTTAAGGACAGACTTTATTTTGCTCCTTCATTGTAATCTGCTGTTGATGAGAGGGAGTGCATATGCATTTTGTTTGAAATGGGATTTTCTAAATAAAAACTATATTCCTCACTAAATGAACCCTTGAGTGTTCAAAAGCAGAAGAGAACAACAAGCAAGATTAGTTTTCCAATACTCAATTCCCATGCTTAGCACACCAAATGAATGGGGAGAAGGAACTCTACAAAATTGGATGGATTTAATTGCATTTTAAACGTTATGTAACCTGGAAATTACATTATGTTTCCTCCTTGTTCCAGTGGGTTGATTGATAGAATCCTCTCGTTTTCCACCTCGTTGTACAGTAAACTCACAGTGCCCTCTACTGGTTCAGCTGCTCTTGTTGCTGCTGAGTCTGTTGGGGATGACAGATTAACTCTTTTAGAAACAGATTGGGTGTTTGCCTCAATGTTTAAGGTAATTCTCATGATGTGAGTACTTTTTGCACATCACTTTGCCACATGTGAGAACTTATGGTATTGTGACGTTCACACCTTGGAAATGTTTGCAAAGTCACTGATGCATTTCGGTACTTGGAGAGCTGTCATCACAGCCCAGTACTCTGTTTTCTTCTTTTAACTTTGTTTTTGGATGTCCCACACGTCTAGTGAGATCCCACGCCTTCAGTCTTTAAATACGCATGAAAAAAACACCTGTAATAGGTGATCTCTAAAAGCTGAACTCTGACTCCATTTGTTCATTCAAACGTGTGCATTTGGGTCAACTTACAAAAACCTCCCAGTAGTCCTGGGTGTTAAGGAGAAGGTCCCAGACTTTTAAAAGAACGAAACATAGGATTGTAACTTGATTTAGATCAAGGCTCAGTTGGATTACCACAACCCTGATAACAGAAGTTGACATTCATCATCACATAGATTTTTTTATTCTATTTATTTTTCTTGTAGAGGAGTGCACAATGAGACTTTTTTTTCTGTTACCTGATTACTACTAAGGCTCCTGTAAAATATATTCAAATATTCTGGTAAAAATGTGTTAGAATTTAGCTGTCTGATGCAGTATCCTTGTCAATGTAACCTCAACTGCTTTGGTTTTAAATTTTTTTAACTGTCGTCTCCTGACTGTGAAGGTTGGACACTATAAAAGAAAATGCACAGAAATGGTGGGGGTCCTGGATTTTTAACTTTATCAGTGCACAAAGCAACACGAATTCTTTACCACTCAAAGATAAATAGATCATCGACACCCTATCTAACAAGCTTAATGATGTTATCTACATATCAAAGGATGCTTTGTGTTCATTGTCACACTGGCATGAAAAATCTGCAGTGTGGATTTCTTTTTATCCTTGCATGCTTAATGTGTTGGTGATGATGTTTGTGCAGCATTATCACTAACACCTATATGCATAAATAAGTGGTAGAGTGACTACCATCTGACCATTTTATGTGAATCTGTGAGTTCATAGACACGTTCTTACTCATTTAGAATTAATTTTGTACTCCGACCCAATATTACCTTATATCATTATAATTTGTACAGAAATTGTATATCCGGGCAGGTTTTTTTATTTTTTCCGCTCTGGAAAAGCTTACTAAGGCTGTCTAAGATGCTGACATGTTCACTTTTTCTTTCCATATGGGCATGAAGTACTGACAATATCAATATAGATTGTTGATAGAAAACTGCATCTCTTTTTTTCCCCAAACAAATGACTAAATATTCTAATGATGGAGTTGTCCCAGAAGGTTTGAGTGGGAATGTGGTTTACTGGAACCATTTAAAAGTTAGGCTGCCTCTAGCAAGCATAATTATTCAGATCTAAACATTTACAGAACAAGTCGTCATTGTTTTGATATTCCTCTGTGTAGGTTGTGTCTGATAAACTAAACTGTGTAGTCTTGTGATTCACAGTTTCTTTTTTTTTTGCTTCTCAGTTTAGGTACAAAACCAGAGTTTACAAACAGACGAACCTGGACGAAAAGGCTCTCTCCAAACTCAGCACTAAGGTATTCATTTTATTTTCTGGTGAATGCTTCTCTTATTAGCTGTACAGGCCTCACGCCAATTCTCCTCCGTGATTATCGATCTTTCTGTCGAACCCAGGCGAGTCAAAAGAAGTTTCTGGATTATGTTCAGAGTGGAGCAATGGAGAAAATGGCAAAGGTCCTTGATAAAGGCCTTGATCCAAATTTTCATGACCCTGACAACGGAGGTGAGTTTCCCACAAGACAAGACAACTGTGCAGCCTTTCACTGAAGCATTACATTTTAAATAATTATTTAATCTGCCTGGCTTACCTTTCCACCCATCATTTTACCTGTGCCTACCTCCTCTCTGTGGTTCAGAAACCCCACTCTCTGTGGCCATGCAGTCCGGCTTGTCAGTGGAGGGCCTCAGGCTGCTGGTTCTGGGCGGCGCTCACATGGACTTCAGGACTAGAGATGGCCTAACTGCCGTGCACAAAGCTGTCCGAGCTCACAACCATACCGGACTGCTGGTAAGGACTCCAGAGAAAGCCACATGTATGCAGGCAAAAACATTCAAGTGGGACAGAAGGTGTTTCTGTTCTTTTACATATTTATATATCCATATATATTTTATATTTCACATATTTATATTTATATATCTTATTATGTATCATTTAAAAGAATTACAAAAGAAATGAGAAAACACATACAGACGATAATAATAATGTCATAAATCGAAAAAAGGAGGAGGAATAAAATAAATAGAGGAGGTTAAAGGTGAGGATGAATTTAGAACGGAAGGAATCGGAGAAAATGCAGAGATGTTATCTAGAGTGGGGAATAGCAGGACGTTTACACCTGCAACCTCCTCCACTTTTAAGTCTCTGTCAATTTTAGGTCTCTCATCCAGCTCAAGGAACCTCTCTTCTTCTTGACTTTTTCTCTTTGTTGCTGTTTATTTTTTCCAGAGGGTGATTGACCTCTTTCTACCCTTTTGATAAAAACTGAGAAGCGTCTTTTTTTTTTTAGCTGTGCCGTTATTGCTCTGTGTTCTTCTCCAGGTTTTGTCTTTCCATCAACAGTTTATTTGTCTTCTCCGTATTTCTTTCATCCCACTTTCCTGTTTTCAAACTGTTGTCATTTCTCTTCAGTGCTCTGCAGTTTTTTCAATTTTCATATTTGTCCACTGCAATTTTCACTTTTCCTTTGTGAATTAATAAAAAATAAAAACAATGTAACATAAGTGCCCAACTCTGTTTTGTCTGTTGAATCAATAGGACACCAAAACTAAATTAATAGAATAAGACAAAATGTTCACTGAGGCATTCATATCCTGAGTCGGAATCTTTTAAAGATTACTTTAAAATCTGTTTTGTGTTAATCACAGTGTGTACGCTGACATGGTGTTCAGACTTTATAATGGACAGCCCTTTAAAGTAAGCAGAACTACAACAACAGCCGTCCAATAAATCCAAGAAGTGCATTCGATTTTTGCCTCAAGCAGTCTTATCACCCAGCCTTCATCCAGTGGCAGCTGGATAGGTTCCAGCTCTCTGTGACCATGAATTGGACAATGGAAGAAAACAGGCAAAAGAAACAAGTTATTTGTATGTAAAAGTGCACAGAAATGCATGTTCAGTCTACATTTGTGCTTGCTTGTTCAGCAGACTTTGTAGGAGTGCCTACAATTCAGCATCGCTGACAGGATGTGAGGAATATGACTAATTGTCTTATCATAACCATGATCAAATGTAATTGTAATTAGAGTAGGTTCACAGGACTGCCCTAATTTGGAACTTTTATCTAAGATCTGGTCTTGATTACTGCCACAAGAAAAAGAAAATAAATATTGAGGCAAGCTGAATCATTTTACCAGGAAAAACTGTTACTTTTCTTTTTTTCCATGACATCTAAACTAAGGTTTGGGTTGTTTTTCTTTCTTCTTTTTTTTTTTTTGCAGCACACATGGACTCAGCTTCCAACATCTTAGTATTACTAAGCCGTCGTCATGTGTGAGGGTTTTGTTTAGTATTTTGGTTTTGTGGTAGTTCTGCTTTCCCATGCTTTAGTTTCCTGCTTTACAGTATCTATCCTGGTTTCCTGTTTCTTCTCCTTGTGTCTCTCAGTTTACTTTATTTCCCTCAGTTCCCTCCTCTTCTGGTCATCGCTAAACTCTGTTTGTCAGTGTGCGCTGTGTCACCTGTTCACTCATCACACTCCCCTCTATAAAGGCTTCACAGTCACTACATTCATCCGGTTCTGTATTCCTGAGGTTTTAATATTTCTAGCTTTCTTTTTACCCCATTTTAGTTGGTTTTTTGTATTCAACTTCTGCTGCGCTCTTTGTTATCCTTGGAAAATAAATTTAAGTTTTTCCTAAGTTCCTTGGTTCCCTCTCTGTTCCTTCCCTGGCCCTTCCATCTGGATCCGTCCCCTCACCACATCACCGGTTCGCCCATGACAGCGATGTTGTTTTCTACATTGCAACAAATCTAACACAATTAAAACTTCATTTCAACGGTTACTTATTTAGATGTGTATGGTCATTCAAAAATAATGCAATTTACATGTGTATGGTCATTCAAAAAAATGTAATTTAAGAAACAAAGGCAATCCTAAAATCATCAGCCTGCTGGTTACTCGCCAGAGAAATCAAAAGACGTGCACAAACTATCTGTATCATTTCTTTCATACAGCAGTTATGATAATTCATGCTAGTATCATTTGTTTAAATATTTCAGATTTGAATGTCAAGCAAAAAGAAATCCTCATATATATTTTTTTGCTCTCTAAATGTCCTTCTTCCAGGCTCTCTTGTCCCTCGGAGCTTCTCCAGATTACAAAGACCGGTGTGGCCTGACTCCGCTGTACCACACTGTGCTGGCGGGGGGCGACACTTCCTGTTGTGAGACCTTGCTCTACTACAGGGCAAAACTGGGGACAAGGGATGAGAATGGTTGGGATGAATCTCATCAGGTAGTCTCACCATATATTCGTGATGAGCAATATCTGTACAAGTCAAACTGGGTGCGGATCATCATTTGTTGTTCTGGTTTCCTTTCGTATTTTTATGTAAAATGTGTGTTTTGTGTGTAACATCATGAGAACTTAAGCAATGCACCATCATTTCCCTCTGTGGTAGTTTTCATGTACCATCACTTTCAGACTCGCACCATTTTATCACACCTCTTTCTCTCTTTGCCATCCTTAGTCATCTTTTCATTCTCTCTTGTTTTCTCCCTCTTTCTCTCCTTCAATAGCACAGGGATGAAGATGAGTTTGGAATGGAAGAAATTCATAAGGTACCCTTCATCCCATCCTTTCAACATCCCTGTTAGCCTTGCAGAGGCAAAGACAATGAGAATCTTGATATTAAGATAGAGCAAATGGATAAATATGAATGCGATGACCAGTGTTAAAGACGATCAGCTCTGGGTCATCCAGAAGAACCCTCTCAGAAATAGTATTGGATATAATCTCTTTCTCTTACTGACGATACAGGTGCATTGCCTACATTATGTCCTTCTGACGTTCTGTTAAATTTGCGTTTGTGCTGCAAGCCGGTTGTCATGGTATTTTATTTTGGTTTTGCCATGCTCTGTGCTTTGCCTCTGTACTTCGTACGTATCTTGTGTTATTTTAGTCCTTGTAGAAAAATATGAAGAAACCTTTGAACTTCAGATGGCTCATCTTTATTATGTTAGTGGCATTTTTTTTTTCATTTGTTTCTAATTATTATTCCACCATCTGATTTTCTCGGGGAGTAGATTTTATATAAGCATGAATGAAAGATACATAATTTGTTTTTTCTTGTACAAGATCAGACGTAAATGAGTTTAACTTTTATCCATCCATACTTACAACACTTACAATTTATGCAAATTTCTGTTATGCTCTCAATGTTGAAAGGCTTGCCAGAATGGCTTTGCACAACACTTGGAGCATCTGCTGTTTTATGGGGCAGACATTGCTTCTCAAAACGCCTCAGGGAACACTGCACTTCACATTTCAGCCCTGTACAATAAGGCAAGTCTGACGTGATCTTTCATTTTGTAATATTATGATCATTCAATGGCTTCTTTTCTGGATGTCAACTACTTACTTTCTCTCTCTGTGTGTTCAGGAAAGCTGTGCCCGTGTTCTTTTGTACCGGGGAGCAAATAAAGAAGCAAAGAATAAGCATGGTCAAACTCCTTTTCAGGTCAACTGAGAAACAGATTGTTCCATTTTTATCTCGTCTTCATGCAAAAACTTGTTCACAGATTAGTTTTTACTAACAACCAACAAAGAGGAGCTTGACCGTTCACTTTTCTTTCCGCGTGTGCAGGTCGCTGTAGTGTCTGGTCACTTTGAACTTGGGGAGATCATCAAAAACCACAAAGATTCTGACGTAGGTAAGCTTCCCTGACACACTTTTCTGTTCTAAGGGTGCTGTGATATGTACAGTCCCACCTGCCTACTTAGAACTCTCCCACATCCATCATGTTTGTTTCTCCTGAACCCTTTTTTACCTCTAACAGTTCACGTAATATCTTCCCCTTTTAGTTCTCTCGTTTAAAAATCTTACCCCTTTCTGTGACTTGTCAACTCTTTTCCCTCTCTTTAAATCTCCTCATCACATCTTCAGTACCCTTCTTGGAATCGCCAAAGTTAGTCCCCAAGCGCAGAGAGAGCGCCCACACTCTGCCTCTCCCCTTGCTTCATTCCCACCCCTTGCTGCGTGCCAACAGCGATAACACTACGACCCAGTCTGACCCGCTGACCCTACCCAACAAGCCCTCAACCAATCCTAACCCAGCACAGGTACTGGAGACCACTGGGTGGAGGTTCATGTGCTGGTGTTTCTCTCTGAATATTGCACTCAATCGTAATCTTACATATACTTACATATACTTACATATACATATACATCTCCATCTTACATATACTGACCCTGTAGTGTTTTTGTAGGGCCAGCGCAGAGCCTCCATAGGTGTGAGAAGCTCCAGCAGCCCCAGAACCCGCACCCGGTCTCCCTCCAGAGGGAGAGGAGGCCAAAGTGACACGGAGGAGAGGCACCGGCAGCCAAGAGGCAGACAGGGGTAAGGGCGTTGATCTTATTCTAACCACGACCTTAAGGGCCATTAAAAGGCATCATTTCATCACCAGTCGTCACCTGCTGCAAGGAAGAAAAACGGCAGTTCCTCAGCTGTGTACCGTGCACTGTTTGTAAATGCAAGAATGTCACCACATTTTCTGCAAAACAAAGGAACTGAAGTGATGTGCGTAGTCTGAATAAAGGTTTGTAAAATGTCAGACGTTGGTATAATTGGCTTAGTGGCCATAAGATTAACAAGCCAAGATTCTGTGGCCACACTTTCTGGCTGCAGAGCTTCATCCCAAATGCCACTGTCAGGATTCACATATGACAAAGGCAATATTTGCAATTAAGCTTTCCCTGTTCTATTCACCATCGTTCGCCATTTCAGTTTATTGAGATATTCTGGTGACCCTTGAGACAAAACACTGTTTTGAGTGATCCACCAAAATCATGAACTGATTTACAGAACATTGATAGAATAAAGTCGATTTTTAAGGTTACATTAGACTACAACAAAATGATGCTACATTCATACCAAACACTAATTTAATTTATTCAATTCGTGCAAATGTGAGTTGAGATTTATGTGGATGCTGTTGTTTATTTGTAAGCTCTGAATGAGGTTGTAAAAATAGAATATATGTGTACTTACATCACGCTGAGACCAGCCTTTTTACCAAATGTACCATTAACCTCCAAAGGACATTTCCTTTTAGTAGAATATAAACACTTGTTTTGTGCTACTATTATTGCCAGTCATTATGTCAAAAGACCAACTAAATGTAACTGTAAACAGCCTTACAGTTTCTCTTTGCTCTGCACACCTCCGTAATGCGCATCTGTAAACACGAAAAAAAAGAGAATGCAGATGATAACAAAAAGCAAATGGTGGGTTTTGTCAAATATAGCCAAGCTTTGCACTGAAATGCGTCTCCCTACTACTAATGTCTGAACCCCATCTTGTCCAGTTTTGTCCACACACACTGTTTGATGGCCGCCTGTACATTTCTTCACCACAAATGCAACCGACATTCTTTACTGGCAATATACAGTACAAAGCTTCAAATTAGCTAATTGTTGAATAATGACAACAAGCTCAAAGCCACGGTTGACTCTGAAATCCTGCCTACGAATAATTTGCTCCTTTGAATAAAAAAACATTCAACTGGATTAACAAAGGCTTGCTAAATGCTTGACCATGTTATGAAATACAAGACTGCAGCTTGGAGTCTCGCTGTTTGTATGACTGATAAGTATGACTAAGCTACTGAATGTCAGGGGTGTCGCCTGACAAGCTGTATGTAATCTCTCTTGTTATTCAAAGTGTGCTACTTATGTCACACTTCTGTAAAAGTCTGTCTCTGCTTTTCGCGCCGCAGTGCAACCTCGGCAGCCAGTGGCGGAGGTCAGATGAAGCGCATGTACAGCGCCGTGCCGGGGCGCGTGTACGTGGCCACACGGGCCCACTCTGCTAGTGGGGACAGGGAGCTCTCATTAAACAAAGGGGACAAAGTTAAAGGTGAGAAAAATCCAAATCCCTCAATAAAGCAAGAGAAGACAAAAGACGTGTTATTCATGTGCTATAGACTCTCTAACAATTAGTTCAAGATCCAGCACTGAGAATATTTTTAATGCAAATGCGACAAAGCTCAGTGCTAATGCTTCTGTCTATTGATGAAAAATGATGATGAAAAATGTTGCCAAAACTAAAGATGTGTTTGGAAATCTATTTATATAGTTATATAGTTACTAGTCATTTTTATCTCTCAGTTCTAAGTGTGGGAGAAGGGGGCTACTGGGAAGGAACGGCGAAAGGACGCACCGGCTGGTTTCCTGCTGACTGTGTCCAGGAGGTGGCTGCTCCCAGTAAAGATAAAGGTAAGATGAGGCACGTGGGGACTTCAGCCTACTTTACTACCCCACTGCACTTTGAATGGTACATATTTAGGCATAATTTTTTGATGATTTATGTACTGAAATCTAAATGTAGGTTATGTGGGTGGCTTAAATTGAAAAAAACACAACCAAGGAAAAACACCAAAGATTTGCAGATGTATTTTGTTTAAAAGAAATAATTCACTATTGTTGGAAACTTAATTTCTATCACTAAATGTTTATCTTTATATCCTCATTATTCATCACGTCTTTCGCACAAATTCACCAGAGAGCCCCTTAGCATCAGGCACTGGCACATTTCCAACACAGTCAAACACTTTTCACCTGTTTTTTTTTTTTATCCTGCTTGCTGTTCAAACTGTAAGCAAACCATATGCCAGTTACAAAAATAGGGTGTAAATGTAATAGTGTCAGTCGGTGGCTGTGCTGAGGACACATCGCCTCAAAAAAAGACTGAATTGGTGTCATTGAACATATTTCTGGTCTGCATGTGCCTTGCAGAGACGCGCAGTGAGAAAGCCAAGAGGAAGCTTTTCCGTAACGTGACAGTAGGAGCTTACGACGGCACTGACGGGCCCAGGTAAGAAAAGCTGCTGCGACCATTGCAAAGTCAAAGTTGGTGCAGAAGAATCACAGTAAATGATTAAGTTTGGGCTGAAATAACAGTCTGTCCTCCTCAGCTTAGTCATCAATCACACAACCTGCTGTTCAAGTTTAATTGTCCACTCTGGATCAGTTCATTACATTTTTGAAAAATAATTCTCCATTCACAGCTTTAAACAAAAAAAAATAGCTTTGTAAACCAAGTCCATCCTTAGAATTATAGATACACAAGTTACGACACATTTCTTCTTTTCTCCACCCAAGAATCTCTAAGTAACATTTGAATCCAATATACCTGATCAATTTATCTGATACGAATCTTACCTGCCTTCGTAAACAATTTGAATGTCGACTTTATGGTGTCGCTCACCATGCGGTGAGTCCAGTTATCTCCAACTTTTCCGTGAGGTAATGCTGAATTTGAGGATGAGGGTGTCTCGATTGTCAGATTAGCATGGGAAACACAAACAGCAAATTTTGCACTCACTGTATTACATTAGCAAAAGAATGTAAAATCAGTACAGGTGGCCGGCCTAACGGATGCTGTTGTTGTGAGTGAGAGGAGGTTCAAGTGTGTTTACCTGATACCTGTTTGACCTTTATGACTTCATTCATGTTCGTGTCTATCAGCAGTTTCTGCTGATGCCATGCAGCTTTTTGTCTGATGCTGTACTATTTGAAAATCTCAGTGCCGAAAAGAATAAAGAGCAATCATGTCATTTCAGCTCTCTCCCTTTTGACTCCACCAAACAGATCTTTCATTCACATGCTGTGTTTCTCTCTTGCTGCCTGTGTGCTCTGAACACAATAATGCTGTAATGAGCTGAGTTTTTCCATTTTCACACAGCGTCAGAAGCTGCAACCCAGCTCTGGGCAGCTGCGACTGTGTTTTGTAATGCTATGTTTGCTTGTTATAAGTTTGTGGGCATGCAAATGTGAAAATGCCTGTGCTATCGTGTGTACATACATCATCCTGCCGATGAGTCATGAGGAGGCTGAAGCACTGCTTAGATTCCTTGGATGGTTGGAAGGCATTAGGAACTGATGTCCCTTGTTTTTTTACTGCAATTACACATTAGAGGAGACATTGCTCGTGTGCTGAGCCGTCTCATTCACAGGCTTCCATGCAGCTGTGCTTGTGCCAAAGCAAAGCCACTGGGCTTATATTACCTCTGCAATGTTGGTTGACCATAATTGTAGCAAAAGAGGTGCTCAATTAAGAGCAGGATGATCTGGAGTATGTTCTATCACTGCAGCTTGGCATTTTGGAGAATGTCAATTACCATTTTAGAGAGAGGCAGAGAGGAAAAGTGTTGTTAGACTGTGTGGTGATGACAGCTCTGCTTGAGAGGAGGCAGCGAGAGCAAAGTTGGCAAATGAGTGTGTGAGTAAATTCTGGGTGGGAATCAGCTGTGAGTTTATCTGTGGCATAACCAGTCTGTGGACGAGCAAATACAGGCGCTCGTCTTCCTCTGTGGTTTCTTTACATTCCCATCCCCCGCATCCCCACCCCTCAAATTCAACCCTCACTCTCCCCAGTTTTGCTACCAACCCCTTTTTCCTGTCATCCACCAGCACCCACACTCCACATATTCACTCCATGTTGTGATAATCGCTGGTATCCTCTCCCTCTCACACATTGTCTTTCTCTGGTCTGAACTGCGCGGGGTGCAGACCGTCACACTCTCTCTCTCTCTCGTGCGCACTCTCTTCGGCTGAGCTCTCGCTGGAAGACCGGGAGGAGGAGGAGGGAGGGAGGAGGTGGTGGTGGAGAGCCCGCGAGAGAGAGGAGGGGGGACATGGCAATGGGGGGATGCGGAGAGAGAGATTTCTCTCTCTCCCTCTCTTCTTCGTGGCCATCACTGGGCCCCAGAAACAGGAGCGTGTGGTTCATTTACAGGTAGCGGCTGTTTCCTCATTCATTGGCTGGCTATGGATGTGAGGAGAGGACAATGGAGAGAGGGGAGAGGTAGATGATGCTACTGAGAGGCCATGCCTTTTCAAAGACAGACTACAATCTATGTATTCTGTGCGTGTGTGTGTGTGCGTCTTTGAGTGTGCAAATATGTAGGAGTGTGTGTATCTCGAAATTGCATTTTTCACGTTCATGTGCATGTCTGTAGAATGGAAGCAGCTATTGAATGGAGAATCTGCAGCATGTTTATTTTTGTGTCTTCCAACCGTGTGTTTTCTAAAGCCTGTGTGTGTGTGTGTGTGTTAGTGTATGAAAGAGAGCACGTATTGATGCATTTCAGTCAGACAGTGTGGGTGTATTTTATTCTCTTTGAGTCATGGTTTCTTTTAGTAGATATTTTTAATTCACCTGGACTTTCCATTCCATTCCATATTTGTTTTACATTTTTGTATTGAAAATGTGTGATATATTGACTGTCCAGGAGGAAAATGAATAGGTCAGTCAGTGACTTGAGTGCGGTTTAGCTGTTACTTTAGTCTTTAATGTGAGATACCAGTCATATCATGATATGTCTGTGTCTGTGTGTGTAAATCTAGATTCTACGATGCATGCAGTTTTAAATGCTAAAGGAAAAATGTTTATTTCACATTTGAGTGCGTGTCATAGTGCTTGCTGTGGGAGTGTCTCCTGTGTTCATGTCTTTGCGTGTTCAATCCACAGTGTGTGTGGCTAACATCTGTCAGCTGCTTCACTTGTGCTGTTTGGGTAATGCCCCCACGCAGTGTATCTGCATGTGTGTACAGCAGGTGAATGGTTAAAAAGCTGCCTTTTTTCTCAGTAAGTGTGAATAGAAGCGAGGATGACTCAGGAAGGTACATAATAAGGCCAGTCTCCAGTACAGCTTCATCACAGCCAGTTCAGAGAGAGCATATCCTCCTTGCCAACTGTGATTAGCCAGGGACGTTTGTGCTTTTTATGGTCCTGCCTGGCTGGGCCATCGTGGTCACTATAGAGACACTTGAGTGGAAAAGATTTAAGCATGTAAAGGAAATCAGGTGTGTTACCGTAAGCCAGCAGGGCAACTTAGGAGCACCCAAACGACCAACAGAGGCCACATTTATCCCCCTTGTATAAGTGGACGGATGAAAAGCCCAGTGGATCTGTCCACCCACTCTGTTACTTTGATCCTCAGAGAAGGAAAGCATGATGGAGGACAGGGTGAGAGAAAAAGGAATGAGGTGTGAGGAGCAGATGGCTGGAAGGCGGCTGAGCGTTGGCGAAACAGTAACATTGATGGAGAACACACAAGGGATGGACCTCAGTAGGGGAAACCAGTAATCGTCTGTTCAGTGATAAAGTTACGGCTTAATATCAAAGTCTGCATCTTGGGGCCTGCAGACCAAAACTCATGACATTTGCTGGGCCTCTGTGATGAAACTACTGAACATGTTTTTTGTAATATGCACACTGTTGAATTACATAGACAGAAAACATGCTGTGATGTCAGTTAGTGAGTGTGGATTGTACTATTATTCCCTTACTGTAATTTTGATTTCCATTTCAGAGGTTGTTACTGAATGGTCTGGGAGTGAGCAGGCTTTTTGCCAGACATTTGAAAAAAATATTTTTTAAAAATAGTGCTAGACGAGTGCCTCAAGCCTAAAACTGAATCATATGCTAATGCTTTAAAATGTTGCATGCAGTTTGTTTTTTACAAGCGGTTGCATGGCTCATGTCCCTAGCTACCTACTTTTATTGTAAGGAAGTCGATCAAAAGGTTGTTTTTAGGTTTAATTTACCGTTAATGTCGTAATCAGTTATATTATTTGAGTTTAGGGATTCCTAAGTTGAGTTATGACGGCAGAGGAACGCTCAGCCTTGCAGTCAGCAGTGTGTGACGAATTTAATTCATGGATAACAAATTACCACATAGATTAATTACTTCTCATGGTACTTCGGGAATACTTTCACATACAATTTACACATCTAAGAAAATAAAAACACAATTTTCCCCCATGAAATGTTTCTCTTTGATTGTATCTGGATGAGTTTTGCTTCATTGTTTTTGCAGTCAAGTTATCACTACAAATAAGACAATCCTTCTTTGAGGCTTCTCATTCACTCATGAGTGAGCCCTATTCTGAAACGATTTGATTCCAGTTAGACTGTCGGCCTGGTTTAAGTGGAGGAGTACAAACTAACGGAGAACAACCTATCAAAGAAATTTCTGGAATTCCTTCAAATCCCAGCTCAACTAACAATGAATTGACATTGTCGTAAAGTCAAGTCCAGCACCGAGTCATAAGATGAAGCTTTCTGTGGAAGTGTGCAGTCCATTTAACCAATCCTATATTAGAGAAAAAGGCTGTAAAGCAGCTCAGCCAAAAGTCCCAGACATGGTAATAGAATAATGCAGGAGCTTTCTGAGCCACTACTCCTACCAACTAATAATAAGATTGCATCATCTTTGTCTGTGATGGCCGTTTCTGTTCTTATGGGCTGTGGACTTCCAGAAAGTAGAGTTGTTTGTTGGCGGTGGAGGGATTAGAAACATGTTTGACTGTCTCTTGTATATGATTGTATGTGATGTCATGTATGGCACGTAGTGGTGCTCAGGAGCCGGTGGAGCAGTATCTTTGCAAAAGCTGCCAGAAGCAGTGAAAGCTAATGCAGCAATTTAGGTGCATTTGTGAATTTCCATTATCAGTGTACTGTATGTGCACATTTTTAATGTGCTGTTCCTCCTGGCCAAGTGATTGTCTGCTATGTTTGGATTAGTCTCAGAGTGGAATGTCATCTCACATACAATTCATCCCATTGTGACACTAACTGTACCCCAGCCATCATATCCTTTGTGCACCATCACCTTTTCTATGGCTTTCTTGGGCCAACTTATCTTTTGCTGCAGTGTGATTTCATAATGTGATGCAGCATAGCTGTTTTCCACATTACTTAAATGCATTATTTGTGTGTCAATAAGAATTTCTTGTTCCTTTAAATGTCACATGGCACTCATCCTCTCCAGTTCTCTGTCTCTTTTACCCTTCCTCTGCTTAACCCGAATTTCTCTTCTCCTCTGATTCCGCTGCACTCTCTTCAAGTGACTACATTATTAAGGAGAAGACAGTGCTCCTACAGAAGAAAGACAATGAAGGCTTTGGCTTTGTGCTTAGGGGAGCCAAAGGTGAGCTTCTTATCTACAAGTCTATATGTGTTCCTGTATCTCAAAACATTTCTCAGTCATATGAACTACTTTTGTATTCTTTCTATTTCGAAGTCACTGTCAAATCTATGCCCTAGTTAACTGGACACACACATGATCCCTTTTATTTTGTCCTCTGCAGCTCAGACTCCCATAGAGGAGTTCACTCCAACGCCAGCATTCCCCGCGCTGCAGTACTTGGAGTCTGTTGATGAGGGGGGGGTGGCGTGGAGAGCTGGCCTGAGGATGGGGGACTTCCTCATTGAAGTACGATACATTTTGGACTAGGACGCTGACCAATAATTTGCTATGAAAGCTGCATAGTTTCACTAATGATATTTATTCAGCTCCCAAATTTTAAACTAAAACAGAGGGAGGGCAAGTGATGTTTCCTAGATGGCATCGATCAAAAGGTGGGGTACATCCTGAAAAGGTTGACAGTCATCACAGAGCTAACGAAGGAGCAGACAACCATGCAAACTCACACTCACAACCAGTTTATTATCACCAGTTAAGATAAGACGCATGACCATGACCAGAACAGCCAGAGAAAATCAGCTTTGACACAGGAAAAAAACACAAGTTCCCAGCCCACCCGCCAGTTCAGACTCAAATCCTCATCAGTATGAGGCAACAGCACAGGAAATCTGGTATTAAGTTTTGCTAAATCAAAATCAGTGGTTCTAAAAATATTGTTGCCAAAAAATATTGTCTTTTGATTTTTTGTTTTGTTTATAGCTTTGAGCGGCTGCGGTTTTATAACAACTGTTTATCAGAAACAAAGAGTTCAGACAGCAACTTTTATACAAAACTTTCATTGTGTATGTTTAAAAAGTTCCTGCTTTAAAAAGTCATTTCTAAAAATGGCAATATTCAAACCTCTATTAAAGCTGACACATACCTCTAATTGGCATGCAACCTATTGAGTCACTTATGAAGCTGCCCAAGCTTGTGTATAAGTGATCTACTCCACTCGATGCTTGAATTGCTTGTGCACCAATCCTAATGCCAGCAAACATTTAAAATAGCATGTCACGAAAACATCGAGGTCCAATCTAGGGATGGTGACATCGCACAGTTGAACTCTGCTTTTATATTAATGGAAATTAATGCAAAACATCCAACATATTTGCTTGTACCAGGTGAACGGCCAGAATGTGGTGAAGGTTGGTCACCGGCAGGTTGTCAATATGATCAGACAGGGCGGCAACAGTCTGATGGTAAAGGTTGTGATGGTTGCTCGAAATCCTGAACTGGAGGACACTGCTCGGAAGAGAGGTGAGAGTCATATTTCCCATGTCAGGAATTTCCATCCAGTTTTTTTTATGTGACAATTAAGCAGATTGCATGTTTACTTCACCCTAAGCGCCTGTTGAAATGTGGTTATTATTTGCAACGGCATGTGTATACAGGAATACTAAACATTACATCTGCATTTGGCTTACTTCCCTTGGCAGCGCCGCAGCAGACCAAAAGACTGACTCCTCCTGCCATTGCCCTGCGCTCCAAGTCAATGACATCAGAGCTAGAAGACATGGGTGAGATGATTGCTAGAGCAAAAATGTTTTTTTATTGAAAAAAGAAGAAGATGGCATCTTAAATGGTGTTTTCAGAGGGTTAAGCAGCTTTTTATTATAAGAAGATGACAAAGGCAACTTTTAAATATTAACGGGTGTAACGCAGAAGGCAGAGAAAAGCTATCCAGTAAGATGCACTTTTATCTTCACTTATCATTGTCACTTTTAATGTTACCCGAGAATAAAGGTGATAATTAAACAGTGAGGTTAAAGGATATGAAAGCAACTGCATGTTGTGAAATGACTCTAGTCGAATACCACCAGTCACAATGATTTTTTTCCCCCTTCTGCACCAAATATGCTGCATACAGTGGACAAAGGTGGGAGAGTGGATTTGTGTATTTTCGTGATTATTTCTGTCCCCATGCCCATCCCTCTCATCACATCAGCCTTCACGCCATCACATATGTCTTAAGTATGTACTCCACCCTTTGCTTTGATCACAAACCGTATAGCAGTTTTAGTCACACCTAATTTTATGTTTCCAAAATTATGTATTCTGCAGCTGCCTCACCATGGAAAAAGAAAGCAGGTGAATATCAGCTCTGATCAGTAGCCCTTATCAGCCCCAAAGCTTTAATTAAAAGTCAGCCTGTTTGATGCCCTTTTTTTCTTCCTCCTTCCCCAGAATATGAGTCTTCTCAGGGTCCTGATAAGAAGAGAACAGTCTATCAGATGGCGCTAAGTAAGAAATCATTCCCACCACTCAAGTCATAATGTTAGAGGGTATATTTAAACGTAAGAGGCGAAAGGGGATCATTGATCCTTTCTTCATTTTCTTTGTCAACTTTGTCTCTGCTTTTTTTACAATCTCTTCATACTCTCGCTTTGTTTTAGATAAACTGGATGAAATATTGGCAGCAGCCCAAAACACTATCACATCAGACAACCAGGGCCAGAGAGGTCATGGAGGCAAGAGGGACCGGAGCAAGAGTATTGTTCCCAATGTCTCGATTGAGGTACTGTTAGAAAGTAGACGTAATTATCGTCATTGTTCTAATTCATGTGCAGTTCCATATAATATACATTTGTAATCTATCCAATATGAACAACAATCTTGACCATGGATCACTTTCATTGCAACACAGATTGATAGTGCCTTAGAATGTAACAAATATTAATTTATGGATGTGACTAAAGCCATGAGAAATTATGCCTGAGGCAATTTGGTATGTAGTTTTTTCTTTCTTTTTTGCTGTTGTTTTGTTCTATGTGTTCTCCAGCCTTTACTGCACTTTGTAGGGAATGATTGACAATGGACCACCCACACAAAAACATTTGTTTAAGTGTGAGTCAGGCTATGTCCATTCATTTATTCCTTGTTTCCTGTTACACTAGCACAGAGACCGCAATTTATTATGCAACACCTTCTCAGTAACAGATTAACAGCCGATGTCCATATCATTTGATTAAATCTAAAGAGACTTTAGTTTTCTTTTATACTAGCAACCCTATGAGCAGCAGTCTTCAGTGAACCTGGGGCAAACTGGACCAAGTTTTGGCTACAACCAAGCTCACTTTCAGCCAGGCCATGGGCCTCAGCATGCAGTGATGATGCGACAAAAATCTATCGGTAACTGTCAAGAATATGCTGTGTTTGTATGTGATTGATAGTGAAGTTATGTGAAGAGTATAAGAGTTTAATTTTTGTGTTTTTAACTCCTTGTGTTTTCATGCTCAGGTGTAACAGAGGAGGAGAGGCAGCACCTTCATCCACCTGCTATGAAGCTAGCTCGCAGTTTATCAGTGCCAGGACCAGAGGACATCCCCCCACCACCAAACACATCTGCCCCTGAGCCACCTCTATCTGCAGGTCCCCATCCTGGAAGGGGGCCTGCTATGCCCATTCCCCCTGTATCTCAAGCCCACTACCAGCCCCACTCTCAGTCAGGGCATCCTGCCCAAGTTGGCTGGGAGAGGGGGGGGGCTGGGGGGATGAGTCAGCAGGTCATGGTACCCACCCTCCGTAGGCAATCAGAAGGACTGTGTATCAGAGAGCCAGATGTGCCTAGGAGAGGTGGTGGTAAGATGGGAGGTTTGCGGAGAGGCTATAGCAGTGCTACACCTCCAACAAGTGCTAAACCTAAGGCCCAGCAGGCGCAGCAACAGCCCCAGCACTTACCTAACAGGGAGCAAGGTGGAGGGGTTAGCAGGGGAATAGCAAGAAGGGGTGGTCGGGGAGCATTGATGAAGCAATCAAAAGTGGAAGACGGGCTGAGACAGCACAGAGGAAAGGGAGGTGCAGCCAAAGAGAAAAGCTCCATCCCCATCCCTACCATCATTGTCAAAGCACCCTCAACCAGCAGTAGTGGCCGAAGCAGCCAGGGTAGTAGCATGGAGGCAGAGCCTACTCCGGATGCGGAAGACCAAACCACTGGTGACACAGCCTCAGAAAGCCCTAATACAAGCTTACCATCTCCACTCAATCCCTTGCCCCTTCAATCCACGACATCCACTTCCTTGCCTTCATCGACTGTTGCACCTTCTGTTTCTTCGCAACAACATCTGGAGAACGTGGAATACACCTCAACTTTTGGTACTTCATTTGGGGGCGGGGCACGCAGGGAAAGAGAACGTTTCAGAGATATGAGACGAAAGAGTGCTTCTTTCTTCCTTTCATCCGAGGAGGACATCCAAGGGGAGGCAGGAGGAGGAGCAGGAGAAGGAGGAGGTGCACTTGCAACCCAAATCCAACCTTTACAGGGCTCACAAATGGAAGTGCCCACCCCTCGGCTTCGGCCTTCTAAATCTATTGATGAGGGCATGTTTTCTGGAGACAACTATGTGAATTATTCCAGCAGCATGCCCCCAGCCTTTGGCCTTCCTGAGTACTCTTCCCCTATCCTTAGTCAGGATGGTCAACCCAAGTCAGCACCCTCAGTGTATGGCCCCCAGCCTACTACTACCTTCATTCACCCACTCACAGGAAAAGTTCTGGATCCCTCATCCCCTCTTGGTTTGGCCTTGGCTGCAAGAGAGAGGGCACTAAAGGATGACCGCAGAACACGTAGAGAGGAAAGACACTTTGGTCGGCAGATGTCCACTGTGGGAGCATTCCCAACACCTGTTCAGACCCCAACACCATCGCTTTTTGCAACCCCAACACAATCAGCCTACACTTCTCCGGTCTCTCTTCAACTAAACTCACCCACCACCACCACCTCACCTGCTTTGAGCCGGCCACAGTCACCAAGAATTTTGCGTTTGGGAGGAGGAGGTGGGGAAAGAATTGAGAGAGAGAAGGAGGGGGGACCAAGAGAGGGTCTTCGAGTTCGTTTCTCAGAGGACAGAACTAACCAGTATTCATCCCAGTACTACCAACACAGCAGCAGGGAGAGAGACAAGGAGGCGTACGACAATAGACCTGCACCACCCATTCACCCTCCTTCCCCACCAGCTCAACCTGCCCCTCGCAGACCCACCTATCTACAAATGGTAAACACCCCCAACACCAGCTATATTCCTCAGTACACTGTCCCTACAGCCCCATCAGAGACTAATGACTTGGGAGAAGCCAGAGCTGGGACTAGCGGAGGCCTGGGACTAATGGTTTTACCTCCACCAGCTCCATCAATTGATGCAGATGAAGAGTTTGTCTTTGCCGATCCCCTACCCCCTCCTATACAGTTTGCTAATGGAAAGCACGAGAGAGCCCAGGATTATGCTCAGCTTCATCAACAGCAGACTCAACACTCTGCCGCTGTTGCCCCACCTCTTCCACCTCCTCTTCCATCTGCCAAGCCCCCAAATGCTCCTCAGAGCTCCTCACAAGGTGGTGACTCTGCTGCTTCTAGCCTAACGTCTTATGACAGTGAGGTAGCCAACCTCACACAGTCAGCTTTTTCTCCATCTTATCCATCCCCACAGATATTTGCCCCCTCCTCCACTAGCACCTCATCTGCTGCCCTGCCTACTACCACACTCCACAGACCACAGCCAATGTCCCATTCTCACCCCTATTACAACAGTTCAAACGATGCCTCAATAGGTGTTAGCACCCCGGCCAAGGACAGAGGCACAGCCACCCTTACTACAACCATGACATATGCTACCACTACCATGACGGCCACTGCTGCTGCAACAACCACTACAACCTCTCCAGCATCTTCTGATTACAGTATGACCATGGCTGGGACAAAGGCCGGTCTCATTGCTGGTGTGAAAGCTGCTGACCACACACATCACACCACACCTACACCCAAAAGTGGAGACTGGCAAGACGCTGTAGTAGATTCTGGAATAGAAGAGCTAGACAGTCACAGCAGTAGCGACCATCATTTAGAAATGCTGGGACTGAGTGGGTTACGAGGAGACAGAGGAGGGGTTGGAGGAGATGGGCAAGGAATGGAGGAAGAAAAAGGTGTTGAACATCAGGATCCTTATTCAGGAGGGCACATGTTTGAGGTTCACAGCGCAAAATTGGCAAACCCTGTTTTTCCAAAGATGACTCATTTCAAGGACGGGGGAGGGAGGGGTACACCTATAGCACTGCGAAGGCAGAGCAGCACCAACCCTGCTCCTTTGCAGTTGCACAGACAAAGCAACCCTGAAATTTCTGGTTTTGACGGATCTCTTGTTGACGAGAAGAAGCACAAGCAGGGTCGCTCAAAAATGGAGGATGGCTTTAGCTCGGCCCTGGCTGCCTGCTTGGAGAGGCCCTTGGACTCTCGATCAGTCGTCTGGGGGGAGATTGGCGAACACGAGCAAGGGGGAGTCCAGAGAGGGAGTTTTGTTTTGGAAGGCCGCAGAGTTCACTCACCTTTTTCAGGCGTGAAAGCCAGCATCATCAATGAGCTGAGTTCCAAGCTGCAACAGATGGGTAGCATGAAGAGCATGGATGACTGGAGTCATGTTCCAAAGTCACCTACCAAGCATAGGTTAGTTGCTTAATGTCCCAGTGTGAAACACATCCAAACCAGGGAGAGTCACAAGATTCACAATGTAGTATTCATAATAGTGTTGTCAAGATAGTCAATTTTAATGGTCATGGCCATGAAGATAGTCAAATTATTACTATTATTACAGGTTTAGTGTAAGAGTTTTTACTAATAGAGAACTTGATGAATGATATTGCTTTAAAAAAAAAATCCTTGTTTTGTAGTTGTCTCTTTTTGGGGGGGAAAGGGCACAAAGAAAATTGTGCATCATTACCATAAAATAAGCCTTTAGCATTCCTCATGAACATTGCAGTCTGGAGTCCATAGCAAGTATTTAAACTGTCACAATTATAATTTGCCATCAGATTATAGACTTTCTACATACTACACGTTTGTGTGTGTGTGTGTGTGTGTGTGTGTGTGTGTGTGTGGGTGTGTGTGTGTGTGTTTGTACCATTTTACATTTCAACATAATGTGCATTATATCAATTAAAGGGTTTATTTTGTTGCGTCTTTCAGGTACTCAGCAGATTTCACTGATGCTTTTCACAGTCCGCCCACTGGTCGATCCACCTCACCACTGCCCACCTCGTCCCCACAGCATCGTCAGATCCTGACACCCAACCTTTCAGCCACTCCCTCGGTCTCACCTTCTCCTCAAGTCCAAGTTCAGCGCAATTGGAACCGATCACCTTCTCCGCAAATGCCTACCTCCCCGGTACATTCACATCCTCCCCACTCTCCCACCTACTGTCCATACCCAACATCACCTAAGCACAGGTCCAAGTTTCGCCGGCAGACTTTTGATTTTCAATGCAGCCCCACTAAGGAGATGCGCTCTTCGGTCTCCAGGCGCCGGGCTCCCAGCCCTCTCATCTATAACACTGAGCAGTCCAACCCAACTCCTCCAAGGCCCTCCTCTCTTCCTATTCTTCCTACCACACCTGTCTATAACAGTCCATTTGACTTTCCTGGCCCTCTCACTCCTCCATCTCCAGGCCTCCCTTTAGGAGACCCCTACCAGGCAGCAACGCCTCCGCTTTTTTCCCCATCTAGTGCACCAAGTCCTAACCCCATGCTTGTCTCACGCTCTCTCTCCCCCACTCATTTTCTCTCTGGAGCCTCCTCCCCCATGCATCTACCACCCAGTCCTTCATGTCTCAACTACCCCCACCTAAACGCTCCTCCACCAGCCAAACCGTTTGCCATCAAACCTCTACCCTACTGGACCAAGTACGACGTGGCCGACTGGCTGGTTTATCTAAATCTGGGTGAACACAGAGAGCGTTTTATAGACAATGAGATAGATGGATCTCACCTGCCTTCACTTACCAAGGACGACTTCTTGGACCTGGGAGTGACTCGTGTGGGGCATCGAATGAACATCGAGAGGGCACTCAAGAAACTCACTGACAGGTGAGGGAGGACAAACACTGCTCTGGAACATTTAGAGGAAACTGGATCAAACAATCCAAAATGAAGCTCTGGATGGGGAACAAAAGTGAAAGTGTCTCATCATTACCTTCTAATTAGTTCAACCTTACCCTCCTTTCATTAGATGTGAATTATTTGACAAGTTATTCCATCTCCCCTCCATCTGTTTTAATTTATGAAACTGTGTTATATTAATCCTGTTTAGTTTGGTCCATTTGTATTTTGATTCCACCCATTCTTATTCTTTGATTTGGCCTCCCTTTCTCCCCAGGCGGCTCTCATCTCCTTTGCATGTCACTTCTTCTCCCCGAGACACAGACTGAGAGAGTGAGGGGGTGATTCAAAGATGAAAGAAAGGGAGAGACAAATTGACAAAGACGAACCATAACAGAAGATTTGCAAGAGAAGAACAGTGGACATCTTCAGGTTGTGTTTAACATAGACTACGGGGTAGATAAGTGAGAGAGGTGTTGTCTTGCAAGTTTGTTATATCACGTGTAGAGATTGCTGTTGTGAAGTTTGTAGAGTGGGTATAAAGAAAGTAAAAATTTCTTTAGATGAAGATCTTCTCCTGAAAGTATACTTAAAAACTTTTGATGGGCAGGCTTTTAATTAACACACTGTTTCGTGCTGTCAAAAGAGAAACACACACTCATTCTCACGCACACTGACAGATGGAGTCTTACACCATCTGCTGCTTAGCAGCAATGAGAAAACTCAAGTCTGAATTTAAAGACAGGTTTGAAGAAATGCTGCTTAAAGGCTAAGACCCACCTAAATGTTAGTTATTACGGTTGACATGGAAACTCTGGTGGCTGAGGTAGTAACTGGTGAACACAGAGACAGGAAAGCCACATCCCAACATTAGCTTTGTAGCTTTAACCAGAGTGTCAAATGGCTGTGAGTGCTGGAGCCAAAGTCAAGATATGAGAGATAAAGTTTTTATTTGTAAATTATGATAGAAAGAACAATAGGCAAAAATAGTGCTGTTTTTATGTGTGCCATATTCTCCCAGACGACGCCCCAAGAAGCTTTGTATGTTTGTACTTTGCGAGCGCTAAATATATCTTATATGTTACATGAAATTCACTATTAGTATAATCATTTGTTTTGTAAGAAGTGCTAATAGCAATCATTCATCTCAGACTGGTCAGGGTATTTATAACTGTTGAAAATAACTTTGTGAATAATGAGGACATCAAAATATTGAGAAAACCTTGTTGTGAAATTAACCTTTTTTTATTGTTTTACTGATTATTCTTCAGAAAACAAAGGTCGTCAGAAATCCAAGGAATTATTAAAGTGAAATTCAATAGGGTTAGCAGGTCATTTGACGCCACGTTTTTTAAGAGTTTATTGCTGTTAATGACCTAGCACGGGTCGAGGGATGGATTCATCCTTTTTGATGCCATATTGTTGACCGCGCTCTTTCACATAGCAGGTGCAGTGATCAAAAAGGGCTTTTTACTGCTTCTCTGTCTGCCTGACTTCCTCAACCTTCTGCCTCTGTGAGTCAGTGTGTCTGATTTTGTGTATGAATGTTTGTCAGCTTGCTTTGGTAGCCAAATGTTTCCCCTGGCCTACACCTTCCCCTTTCAACTGCCTTTTTCCAAAGCACATTTCTACTGCTCAGAAAACATAGGTTTTGTTGTTGTTTCTTTGATTTTTTTTCACCAGTTGACAATCCCAATGTTTTACTGTCAAGCATATTAAGTCATTTAAAGTAACGTTCTGACCCGCATTTTACAAAAAAAATCCTAATTTCATAACTTAAATTGCAGTATGTGAAACATATAGGAAAGCAGGCACATCCTGGATTTATTAACATGCCTGTGCAGCGGTTCCCCAGAATGGATCCAACTGTGGGGCAAGAATCACACAATTTATAGATCTGTACGTATTGATGACAATAATCATAACAATAGTTCAGTAAAGATTCTAATAATTAAGTATGTAAACACTCTTTAGAATCTCTGTCTTCCAAATAGTGTGGACAAATTATTCAATGCTTTGTTTGTTTATTTTCTTTTGGGTTGTCAGAAAATGCTTTCTATACTGCTTGCCTCAAGTGGACACCAGTGAAACTGACATGTTAGTTCAATGCATATTCTCTCATTGCAAGCACCAAACTATGTTTTTTTTTTCATGGTGAGTTGCCCCAATGCAGACTCATGTCGAATGCTATTCTGAGAGGTGCATGCACTGAGCAGTAGTGTAGAAAGCATTACGACTAAGAATTAAGAGTATTTTAGGTCTAGTGAAATGCATAATGAATATGACTACATACAGTATGAGCGTAAGTATGCAGATATATATATATATATAAATGAATATATAAATAAAAATATATATATAAATTTTGTTTTCAATAAAATGCAGTATATACTGATAAACAACATGATAGAAGTACAACGAAGATGTTGAAATAAATGACAAAATAAATTATGGCCCTGTTGTGGTTCTTATTTCTCTTCGGATTTCCTGCACCCATAATCTAGTTGAAAGTTTCGAGTTTTGATTGAGTCATTTGCCAGTACTTTGTCTAAGCCTTGATGGTTAAACTCAACATTGTTTTCAGGTCTAGGGTTGTTTTTCCTTGCAGTCTCAGTGGGCTAACAGAACAATGGTTTGGAGCTCATTGGGAGAAGTAAGATGAGACGTTTAATTCAAAGGAATCAGAAGCCATGTTCAATCCGCAAATTGGAATGTGTCTGTATGGCCAGTCTGTAAGAACATTGAAAATAACTTAGAAATTAATTAATGTAAGACTACAGTATTTGCCAGCATGGCGGCCAGATTAGGTTAATGGGCATCAATTATCAATATGAACTTTTTCTTTTAAATGTCAAACAAGCTCAGTGTTCTTTAGCAAAGTCTCAACAAACACCCCTCGTCCGTTTATAAATGCGTTATAAGCTCTTTTGTGTAACTCCAAATGTTTTTTGTTTTTGTTTTTTGTTGCCTCCAATACTCCAATTCGTCATTGAGTAAATTAGAATCCATAAGCTCATCTATCCCTGCCCACACATTCACTACAGCAGCTGACACCAGCCCTCCCTGTCTCTGCCACGCAATATATAATTCAGGAACATACTTATGTAAAATAGTTTTCAAGGTTTGCCACCCAGAGAGGAAACTTCACCGTGATTCTTGACACTACATAAGCCTGAGGAATTCTTGGCCGCAGATCTAAGCAAAGAAACAATGTACAACTTGCCTGTTAAACATGGAAATGAATTTTTTGAAGATTTTCTGACTGACACTAAATTGGATGGTGATTAAAGAGCCAAAATATGGTCTGATCTAAGACACACTTCATCAGAGATAACATTCCATATGTATCATTAAGTGTGTTTATGGCTGACCTAAAATAAAAACACATTTAAAACTTTTGCCATATAGTTTTGAACATGGCTTATCATTGCAGTATTGATAACTTGTTTTTGTTGCTTTTTGCTGCCTATACATAATCAATAGTAGAACTAAACTGATTGTTATTCCAGATGACTAGTGTTTTCTTTTGACTCCTGGCTTGTATCCAGAAGAGCACAGACAGAGTAAGCACCATGGTGAAAACCATGCTGCTTACTGTTCTCTTTTCTAGGCCTCAGAAAAAACAATGGCAGGTCACAGAGGAGTCCCAGAATAAGGTAGCAGCACAGGGGAACCCCCACCCCTGTTGTCACACCCACTCACTAATAAGCTCTCATGACCGTGTGCCACTCCAACACATTTCTGTGACCAGTAAATTATCAAAATGAAAGTTCAGCATCTCATTAGCACCATATTGAGAGAGACAGAGGGAGGGACATGTAGAGAGAGGGAAGGAGGGGGTATTTCCAGCTGTTTTTCTAATAACAGACTGAAGAGAAGTTGATAGTCACAAGGACCTTGACGAGCTAAACAAGCTGATAAAAGGGCACCCATCTAGTGACAGAAGTAAATGATGGAGTTTAAGTAGGGGAAGAGAAAGGAAGGAGGAAGAAGAATTCATTCTGATGCAACTGCAGACAACTCACAGCTAACATAGGAGAAGAAGAACAGAGGTAAGTTTCTTCCTTGTTTGTCCCAAAGTCGGATGGCATCGGGGAGATCATCATACAAATTTGTTATTATTTTTCTGTTGCCGCGAGTGGCTTCACAGTCGTTTTGAGATCAACAGCGTGCGTGTGTAACTTTAAAAGCCAAGGAAAAACTGGGTCAGAGAGAGGGGGAGAAGCATGTGCTAGGGGAGGAGAGGCACACAGGGAGAGGGGGGAGAAAGACATGGAGAGAAATCCTCAGCCGCTCTTTAACTACAGTAACAAGTGGCCACTTGAGTAATCACTGGTGATTCAGAGGGAAATGTAAGTGATGGTTGCTTCTAGGCATGACTGCTCGGCTGTCACTTTGTCTTTTTTTTTCAACCTTTCTTTCGTTGATTGTGAATGAAGTATTTGGAATCTTAATACTGTATGTACACTGCACTAATTTATTGGTGCAATAGAAAAAGAAGAAGTCCTGTCTCCCACGTTTTTACGCTTGCTGTTCCACATTTATCATCAGCCGGACAGAAGATTTAGTATAGAGCTAAAAGGCGACTAGAGTTTGAGAAGTAGTCAAAACCATGTCTATGATGTTTCTACTTTCTGGATCTCACAAAAAGTGAGAAAAAAAAAAGACTTCATGCACGAAGAGGGAAAATGGTCAGACTCTCAGTCGTGTTCAGTCTTGTGATGAGGTGTGGTTCGTCAGTTTTCCAGAGCTCAGCCGGCAATGTGTCAACACACAGGCAGAAATAGACCTGATATTTACTTTCATTTGCATGTTTGTGCATGCAACTCACTTTATGTGTTTCATTTACCTTCTGAAATGGGTCTAGCTGTCCTGTGAACATATTACGCAAGGGAAAATACCTTTTAATTCCACTGAAATCTCAAAAGTGAAGCTAGAGAAATGTTCCCTGTTGCATTCATTGTGGTCCTGGTTCTGGAACTAGATGGCGGGAGGATTCAGCCACAGGGACAGTAGGTTCTAATAGGCCCTGTATTAGAGCAAAGGGAAAGATGACCTTTGCTTGCTGTTTATTTTGGGAAAGCAACAGGAAGAATGCTAGAGCAGCTGTTTCTATTCCTGCTGGCAGATCCCACCCCAGTGAATTCCACTTCTCCACTGAGATGACACTCCCCTCTTTCACGCTGAAGGACTTGGGAGTGTCTGTACTTTGTATAGCATAAATAACACATAGTCTGGAGCAGAGTTTCAATTGCAAAAGATCAGCTAAATGGACAGCACGGTTTCAACTGACAGTCATTTGCTGTCAGACATGTGTGCCGTGCAGGAGGAACAGGTTTGTTCAGGAGGAAGGTGGCCTGCTGTAGCCAAGCATTACGCTGTGCAGACATCCAGCCTGTTGCATGATAATCAGTGTCATCTGCCTGCCAATAAAAACATCTTTCTTAGCTTGTTATGCCTCTCCACCAGTCTAGTGTCCAGCTGGTGTGGCACAAACAGATATTTATTGTGCTTTCTGGGACAGAAACATTCACCATAATGGCGAGCCTTCCCAAAGAACCTCTTGAAGATGCCAAGAAACAGAGTTTCTGGATGGTGAGGAGAATTTATAATTAAATCTACAGATCTTCAGCGTGTTCTTGCAATGGGGTTCCTCTGATATCTGATTATCTTTTCTCCCGTCCACACAGCCAAAGAATTACGTCCGTACAGTTCATCGGACAGAGCGGTCCTTCCAGGCCTGCAATGACATCATGGCCTGTTTCATGGAGAGAGCAAAGGTGGAAAAACAGTACGCCCAGCAGCTCAGCCAGTGGAGCAGCAAGTGGAAGTCCATAGTGGATTCTCGTAAGTGTGAAAGATCTTCGAAACCAACACTTGTCCTCACATCCCTTTTGAACTATTTTACTCCTCATCAAATGATGCTTGTTAAATGAGACCAGCTCCCCTTTTATGAAATTTCCACTCGACTATTTAGGTCATTTCCTCTTTATTGGTTTCATGACGCACCCCTACAGTCAGCACAGCTGACCCTGTTTTATTTTTGCTACCTCAGGGCCGCTTTATGGCTCCCTCATGAGGGCATGGCAGTGCTTCTTCACATCCGCTGAGCGATTGTCTGTCCTCCACTCCTCCATCTCCCAGTCGCTTATTGCAGAGGAAGGAGAGCGAGTGAAGACCTGGCAGAAGGAGACCTTCCCCAAAAAACTCTTCTGTGGGTTCAGGGAGAGCTACGACAACAACACAAGTTTTTCACGTGCGCAGAAACCATGGTCCAAAAAGCTGCAGAAGGTCCAGCACACAGTCATTCATATTAGTCTAGAGATGGAAATTTAACAGTTAGTGTTTGACTAGAGGTGCGTTTGACAATTTTATATGTTAAATAACCATTTCTATCTAACAGAGAACAGTGCAACTGAATCTGATAACAGGTTGTTGGCAGAGCCTCCATAACACCAGAGTATATTGACATTTTCATCTATCCCTTTATTTCCATTTATTCTATTATTTTATTTCCATTCATGAGTTTAAGTAAGAATGTTTTCTCATATTACCTCTTGTTGGAAAGCTCTGCTATGAATCATCCATGGTTGCCAGAGTAATGAGTCCTGCTCAAAAAATATGTCCTGTAAAAAAAAACTTTTTTAAAAAAGCAATTAATATCTCAATTCTGTTTATTTTATTGAAAAAAAGCAGAGTTTACCTATTTTGATATAATGTTTATCTGGATTAGCCCAACTTTAGAGACGTCAGTTTTCTACTGAGTGAATAAAACAAACATATTTCTATGTCATCAATAGCTGGAGAAGGTCCGAGTTGCATACCACAAGTCCTGTCAGAAGGAGCAAGCAGCACTGGACAAAGAGAAGCAATCAAATGAGAACGCTGAGATGAGTGAGGAGAAAAAGCAGAAGATCGCAGAGGCCAGAGAGAAGGCCACAGAGGAGAAGGAAAAGGTGAGGCGGGATGTGAGCAAATCTGAATCTCTTCAGTCTCTGTTGGGCAAATTGTGTCCATCATTTCTGATTCACCACATGAGACACAGCTTAAAAAGTGGCATTCCAAGAGATTTATGTTGGCCTGCAGCATTGGAATGATATGTATCCACTTGAGACACTTTCAAATCTAAACATGAGACCCGGCATTACGTTTCTGCTCCACGATTTTCCCTTGTATGGACATGTGTTATTGTTACTCTGCTCTGTGTTTACGGTCATCATCATGGGAACAGAGCAGAAGTCCAGATGATTTATGCATGTTACAAACTCTGTTGAAGAATACACACGACTCTTTTTGGGTGGAAAACTGTCCTTTATAGGGTTGTTTCCTCTGAACTGCCTGCAGTGTAGAGACCGATATGAGAAAGTCCTGGAGGATGTGACGTCCTACACGCCTCGCTACATGGAGGAGATGGAAGCCATTTTTGAAGAGTCACAAGAGGAGGAGAGGAAGAGGATCAGCTTTCTAAAGCAAGTATTTCTGTCCATCCACAGACATCTGGACATCACCAACAACGAGAGGTGAGCAGCCCCTCGAGTGCACCTTTCTGTGCGCAAAGTGCGTGGAAATCTACGTAAAGCAAGTGATTAGTGTACTCTGTATCTTTGTGTCAGTGTTAAAGCAGTTTACAGTGAGCTCCATCAGACTCTCATGTCCATCGATGAGCTGGATGATGTCAAATGGTGGAAGAACAATCATGGTCCCGGCATGCCAACAGACTGGCCAAAGATTGAGGTATATAATCAGCTTGCTCAAAAGAAAGCTGAAATGTGTCCTATAAATCTATGTAAATCAACAGTTGTTGAGTTGTTTGTTTGTTTCTTTGTCAGAAGTGTAAAAGGTAAAACATTAAACATAAAAACCCTAACCTAAAACTAAAGTTTACTTTGAAACAAAAGAAATCTTATTTTTGTCCTGATGGATACCAATTTTGAATGCTTAGTCTGTATATGATCCATTCTTTATCTGTCACTTAAAGTTAGGTTATGAGGGGGAAAGGATCAAGCCCAGCTAAAAGAACTACTGTGTTTGCAAATAGCAGAGATGCAACCTTTAAGTTTCCAAACCAGATGCCCAACGATCCTTCCAATAAAAATCAGCAAAAGCATCCGGTGATTAATTGACTAATTATATAATCACAAGCTTTCTTCATGTGAAACAACAACAAAAAAACTCCATCGGTAACTTTTTCACGAGTGACAATCTGTTCCAATATTTTAAAACACTGATTTTAAAAACACAGACAGTCAGTCAGAGCATCCTGTCTAGTTCCCTTGAGCAAACCTTACCTGGAAGACGGAATGCAACTGGAACACACGCTGTGGTCCACCACTCCACAGACGTGCTCCCCAACCTCCCTTTACTAAGCTGTCATAATGCTATCAGATTTTTTATTGAGCTTGTTGTTGTCTCTTTTTGTGTCCTTTTCCAGGAATGGGTCCCACCAGTAAAGAAGCTCAAGAGAAGGAAGAGAGACAAGAAAGGAAAAGAAAGCAGACCGTAAGTTAACCTAAGTGGTGTTTTCACTTGTACGCAAATTTCATCAGCACACGCATGAAAAGCAGCCCCTCATTATAGAATGATCCACATTTAAGGCCTAAGTCATGGTTCAGTTTTTGACATGTCCTCTTCTCCTAGTGTGATGATTGGGGGTGTGAAGGTGAGAGCTCTGTATGACTACGTGGGAGAGGAGGGTGATGAGCTGTCCTTTAAAGCAGGTGACGCATGAAGTGAGAAGCAATGATATGATTTCAGTGTTCAGTAAAGACATTCACACAAAATTACAATCACCACATCAAAAACAAATGATATATTATATTATATGGATGGATGGATGGATGGATGGATGGATGGATGGATGGATGGATGGATGGATGGATGGATGGATGGATGGATGGATATATTATATAATACAAGTAATTTGAATGTGCAAGTGAGTTAATAATTAGAAGGCAACAACAATGTAGGTGTGCTCACATACTATAAAGATACAAATAATAAAAACAGATTTATAATTTATTTTTCTAAGCATGAACAGAGTCGGCAGCTAAACATTTTTTTGTTTAGCTGGAATATTTTTATCTCAATATAATGTCATCAAGCACCAAAGACGATGAGTCCATCTACCATCTCCTCAAAGCCTCAGTCTCCTTTGAGAGGAAAGGAGTGCAAAAATCAGTGACCTGCTGTTTCCTAGAGCTTGTGAAATGTTCCAGTTTACATAAAAATACAAACCACCAGTGTTTTTTTAAGTTCAGGGGCTTTTTTTAGAGCGCACACTGGGGAAGAGATGTCACATGGCAAAGTGCAGAATAGTACAAACAGGAGAAAATGTTCACTCAACTCACCAAGTTTTCATCAAGCTAAGGTTTAATCTTTCTGACTGCAGGTGAAGTCTTCCTGAAGGTTGAGGAGGAAGACGACCAGGGCTGGTGTCGAGGGGTCCTGAGCGGGGGGAAGGAGGGCTTTTACCCTGCCAATTATGTTGAAGTTGCCGAGTGACATCACGCCACCTGATGCATTACATCTATTTTTTTCTCACAAAGCGTTTTTTTTTTTAAATAACAAGTGTGAAGATTATTGTTTCACGTATAAGGAGTTGTCACAAAGGCTCTGTGGTTATGTCAGATGTTGTCTTTGGGCGTTAACACTGAAATGTACTTTGAGCACTTCTCCAAAGTGTATTAACTTATCAAAGACTAGAATGTACCATTAATGCTGAATGTGTATATGTGTGAGCGTGTGTTTGCATGCCAAGTGTTAAAAGTAACAAAAGAGAAAAAGAGATATAATTACCTGCAACCACCATGCCATGAGTCATTGGGGAACTGATGGGAAAGGAGCAGATAGTCATACACTGGCACAGGTTTACAACGCTGTGTGCATGCAAGGTTAATGTTTACTTCATTAGTATTATTTAGATGCACACAGAATTACCTCAAAAGGATGGCTTTCAAATCAAATAAAGATGCAATTTGTTTCGACACTAATTATTCTGATCCAAATTTTTAATGTCAATTTCCGTCTCTCACTTCTTGTTCCTCCCTCTTCATGTTTAGGTTTAAGTATTAAAATGTTGACAGTCTTTGCATATGTTGATGTTTAGAAAGTATTTTAACATTATCCCGCTGAACAGATAAGTTTGTGTATAACCCAAAAATAAGAAGAAGTATATATGAGAACCATTAAGGAGATATACGTAGCATAAGTGATATAAGTCAAATTTGCACAAAAGTGCACAAAACTATTTATGCCTGCCAACGTTTTTTGTCAGTTTCAAAGAAGACTCAATAGGTGTTAATTGGCGTGTAGGCACTTGTGAATTATATAGCTCATTGGACGTTTAATATGAAGGCCTGAGCACAGGAAACTCTCATTATTGGGGTTTGTTTGAGATTATTAGGAACTCCACCCTCCTCCCTATAGTCAGAAAAATTAGCAGGTTATGTTGATTAGTGACTTGTCTCCATATTGGGCTGGTCAGCTGTCCAAGAAATAGGCCGCATTTCACCCAGGGGAAGCTTAGACTTCAAACTCATCATAACCATGAATTGGATTAGTCAGATGTAAAAATTATGGATGGATGATGGATTGATGGATGGATGGATGGATGGATGGATGGATGGATGGATGGATGGATGGATGGATGGATGGATGGACGGACAGACGGATGTGTCAGAACTACGTCATTTGCTGAAATACGACCATGAGAAATAAACTCTTCACTGCCACCCACAGGAGACACCATGGAGCTCCTTGCCTCAAACTGGTAGACTGAGATGGAATGATTTGTGTATTTTGTATCGACTTCTCAAAAGATCACCTAAGATTTTATTTGCTAGTTAAAGGAAACCCAGCAAATTCATTTACATTTTTGTAGACTGGTTTTACAAAACCAAGTTGGACAGAACAACACATTTCAGAGAGCAACAACAAAACAAAAGCATCAGACAACATAACAGAAAACAACATCAAAGTTGCAACTTAAAAAAAAAACACTATCACAAAAAGGCAAAAATTCTGGAAACAATGCTGAAACTTTGGCAAAACCCATTTCATGTTCTTCAGAAATGTCTTCTCTGAAAATTGACAGCTGTGTTTTTTTGTTTCATACTTTTCCATCAGTGTGTGTTACCAGGAGTTGTATAGTCTGAGATTGTTACATTTTTAGGGAATGTTTTGGTGCTCTTACTGGTATGTCGTATGGTTCAAACATTAAACGCCCAGAGAAGACTATTCCCAATGAAAAATACATTAAATCTAATACAATTGTATTTAACTGTATATCTTATCGTCTCTTTTTTCACCTACAGGCTAACATATGAATTGTTATAACTAAAACATTCATAAGGAATAGTCTTGGTTGTATTCCATTGGAATTTTCAAAGCAATTAATAATCTTGACTGCTGACATTCTCAGTTCAGCTTCTCCTCAGTCTATTTGTTTTCTAGAAATGTGTAACTAGAGTTGGGACATTTGCAATAAATATCTGACAGCAAATTTTACCACAACGTGAACAAAGGAAACTGTGAAGGAAGGGAACCAGTCAGACAAGATTTCTGAAGAAACAACAAATGAACTTGAAGTAAGCAGTTGGAACATTGCAGATCACTTCGAGGAGCACATACCCATGAGCGTATTGTACAGTCAGCTATTGGAAGACACTGCACATGTGAGTATGCTTCCAACAGGCTTTGTCAAGTTAATATTTATGGAATATTTATGGTCCCAACCTGCTGAACTGTAAATACATTCACGCTCTTCTGAAGAAACTATTGGACTGTAACTGCCTTCATTGGACTAGATTGTTTCCTTTTAATTCCGGTTAAATGCTGCGTTTCTTAAGTGCTGTTTGTGTCTCAAGCAGACTAAACTACAATGGAATTTGCTTGCGAGTTTGTTTATGTGCTACCTTCACTGAGTCAACGATGTGGACCTCATCTCATCAAGCGCTCAGGTCAGTGCGAGTGTGGACCGGACTCAGCTCTGTGTCCACATGCTTTTTAGCTCACTAAGCAGACTGCTGTTACCTTGAAGTTTGACAAGAACCAAATCAGATTATCATTACCAGACTAGGAAAAATGTAACCAAAGTGTGAGCCACACACCTCAAACAGCTTCTTTGGTGACTTGGTGATGTACACAAATCCATCTTTGAGGCATGACGCTGGTACTTTCAGCTGTGTCTGTCAACCCCTGGCGCTCAACGTTCACTTGACTGGAGGGAGTCAAAAGATGTGGGAAATGATGGGAGTTGTTTAAATGATTATAAGTTAAAATGAAGATTGATAAGTACATTTAAAAATGCATGTGCTTTAAATTCCAAAGACTGATGATGCATTACTGTAGTGAGATACGTGTGGGTGGATTTTTCTTTCATTGGTTACTGAATGGTAAAGTGTGATTATGTAACAGTGAGGCAATGAGTGACACATATACACAATCTCTCCTATGCCATTGTTGGGCATTTTTTCAGGTGCTTTGTTCTGCTCTGTGAAATGCTATGTGCCACAAGTGTCACGTTTTCTTTAAAGTACGAAGGTCGTCGGCATCAAGTGTTTTTCATCTTTGTTGTTCTGTTAAAACAGAGGTATTAGACATTTTCAGAACCCTTTGCTTCTTAATCTATCAAATTAGACAACTTCTGTTCTTGTCCTTGAGACAACAAAATTCAAAATAGTTTCTGAGTGGCAAAATGTGTACCTGGAGGGTATTCACTCCAGGTCACCTGAGGTAGGTGATTCCAATCAGTGGAAGTCATACTCAGGACTGAGCATGCACCAAGAATGTGTTTATTTTTAGAAAGGAATATTTACCAGACTTGTTTGTGAAGGTGAAAAATTACAATCAAAAGGAAATCTCTGATGAACATCAAAAGGAGTTGTTGACTCATGTTGATGGAAAACTTTGCCAAAAAATGTGAAAGCTTCAGTCCAGATTATCAGATACAAAATACTAGATCACGGTTACCCCACGCAGAAGTGGCCAAGAAAAAACCCCAGCTCAATGGGTGTAATTATCCTAAACCATGATAACTGAATACATCTTTTTGACATTTCAAAATATTAATATTCAATGGTTGAAGAGAAGACAAATAATAATGTCCTGCATGGACATTTCTATAATGAATGTTACCCACCAACCTATAGACAAATTGTAGTAAATTGTTGTAAACAAATAAGTTGTTGGACAAATATTTTAAGACCCCAACAGAAGTTTTGTGAACCATTAATAACCAAATACCCAAAGAATAATTACTGCATGAGAGAATCACACCAGAAACCAGGAAAAAAAGACTTAGTTAAAATGATTCAGCAACATATTGATTTGAACCACTATTTGAACTACCAAACAATTAATTGTCTGGTAAGGTTTTCTTAGTCCAGAATCTAATACGGCGATTCTTGATCTTTAAAGTATCATTGCATTACTTTTTTCTCCAACTCTTCCCAGCTCTCCTGCCTCCTGTTAACTGGGTCCGTCCTTCCAATGCTCCTCCTCCCCCTCCATCGCAATCTGCAAAAGCCAAGGCACAGCAGGCCCCCACTTTTTCTCCGAAGGTCATCAAACAGTTGGAGAAAAGCAGGGAAGCGAAGGTCCAAAATCAGACTACCTTCTACGAGAATACAGAGTTTCACAAAAAACAAGAGGCAGCTTCTCCAAAGAGGGGAACTCCCCCGCCGACAATGCCATCTGGAAAGACCGGTATGAATGTGAATGCATGTTTATTGTAAAGATATCCAAGATTTTTCTCACCTTTTCATCATCCTGTCACACTTCTTGTCACCACCTGGCTCTCTGTTTGAGTTCCTGTGTCTCATCTCCTGGTCCAGTTGTCATTTCATTGTTAAAAACCAGAGGAGAGCAAGTTAGTCCATCATTCCGAGATTGAGACAATTCAAAGTGGCGACAGGGCACAGACATCAAGATGATATGTTACATCAGCTGCTCTCACATATGAATACCAGAAATCTCAGGAGAATGTTCAGATAAGCAGGACCAGATGTTTGCACATGCTGATGCATGTACTTCACAGCAGGAGCTAATTTGCTGCAGACACGGCCTCAAAAGAGATAACGCTACAGAAAGATGTCAATGCTGAGAGCAGGGGGCGCAGATGTGGCAATATCATAGAACTAAGAGGCATAATAAATGGACTGATGGATTAATGCAGTCAGTCGAGTATTGAAAATACATTTTCTGTATTTGAAATAATGACATTTTATCATGAAATCATCATAATCATTATTTTCTTTGTATGAGAACGCTGTATCTGGCAATATTACTATGTTCCATACATTTTGTACAAACTATGTGCAGAAAGGTAAGATCTACTTTCACAGAAGTAGTGCTTACCGTGGCAGCTCTGAGCTACATATTGCACCATCAGTGTGATTGTTTTAATTCCATTCCTTATGGTAAGGTATGGTATTCTGGCGCTGTGTAGACGGCTGCCTCTCCAGTATCTTCTGGTAACCTTAATTTCCTGAGGGAGTTTTCCCAAGGGATCAATAAAGTTCAATCTAAGTCTAAGTCTAAGTCTAAGCAATATATTAGAGGGCTTGCCTTACTCAAACATTAATAAATGCGTGTACAGAGTTTTATGGTTTGTCCGTGAGTCACACTTTTTCCTTGTTTTTTTTCAATGCAAGAGTTGCCGCTAATTTAAACATTGACAAACTGAATAAAGCCAATGTGAACTGAGTAAAAAATAAACAACTCAGTCTTTAATTTATAGCCCCTTTAAGTGGATAATGAGCCAGTTTGAGAATGGCCTCAAACAAAGTCTCAGCATGTGCCAACAGTGATGAGTGATGTAGAGTTTATGACTTGGCGTTAAGTTATTAAAAAACTTTAAAATACACACAGAGAAAAAAATCTACAAAATATTGATGAAACATTGAATAATTTTTTTTCCATTTTTAAGTGACTTTCTGCTTTAACCGTATCTTTGTCTGCTTGATTCAGCTCTACTTCCTCCGCATATGAGACCTCGGGCAAAGAGCCTGTCCCCTTCCAACACCAGCCATCAGATATTTACCTATGACGAGACAATAAAGCAACCAGGTTTTAACAGCAAGCCCTTGGATCCTGACTCCCACAATGCACCAGAAGGCTCAGAGGGTGAGGTGAAGCTCTCAGCTGATGCCGGCAGTGTGTCGGCTTCAGGTAAAAAGCTAAATTGGTTCTTTTTCTTTGAAATCCATGTTAAGTTGCTTTGGCCCACTCTCCAGAATTTGGGGTTATGGATTACAAATCATAGTTTATTCCTCTTCCTCTCTGAACCCAAGCCCCGTCCCACCCACCAAGACCCACATTTATGAAATTAATGCCAGAGTACTTGGAGGTGTTACCGGCATCTCCCTCATCACCTCAGAAACCTCCTTCACCTTCACTCCGTGCCTCAACACCTACAGGTAAAGGTATTTATAACAGACTGTGTCAAGCTATTAAAAGAAATTGGAATGCAAATTCGCTAATGCAAAGCCATTCCTACCTCAGGATCACCAGATAAGGGGCCTCTGCCAGGAAATCCTAATGTAGTCCTTGTCAGTTTAGGAAAATTGCTCTCAGAAGAAAGAGGTTGGCAGGCTTTAATCATTATCACTCATCTAGTTTGATATTCAGTCTTATTTGCTTGTGGTGATGATAATATTGTGTTTTTCCAGTGCAGCCCACACAAGGAGAACCCACCTTCTGCTCTCAGTGTGGCTCAGTACTGAACACCTGCTATGACAGTGTGGTAATTACATCATACCTGACCTTTATTTTGAATCTGAGCACTATTAGAAGCAGTTTATCTCAAATACTTATTACGAATGTTATCACAAAAGGAAAACAGATGAGCACGGCATCCTTCCCTGAGGCAGTCAGGCAGAAGCACTACTGATTTTAATGAATGACTGGATTGATGTGATTGCTTCTGAGTGAGCTACCTTTGTCGTTTTAATGTTTCACAGGTTGAAGGGTGTTACTTTTGTCAATCCTCCGATTTGACCAGTTCTCCCAGTGCGCCCCAGAGTCCTCTGAATGCTCACCAGCACGGCCTCTTTCTGCTCAACCCTGATGAAAGGCCCCCCAACGCTGCCGATGCCCTGCTGCTCTTCTGCATCGACGTCTCAGGCTCCATGAGCATCACCTCCCAGGTTCAACAACAAAACCAACTCTGCACTTTTGCCATGATAAAGTCACTGCATGCTTCCTTAAATACATCCCAAAATGTCTCTGATTTTCTAAGGTGTTGGAGGGAGATAATCTCATCCAAAGATCCAGGCTCGAAGTGAGTTGTTTTATAATGTGTGTGTGTCACCTACAGGGAACTTAGACTAAGACCAAATTAGACATAACAACTTGCACATCAATTGACATCAATAACAGCTGCGTGATGAAGCTATTGATGCACTTGGTGACGATGACGATCTTCTCACCAGTTTGTCCAAGAAGCTGTGTTACAGTGTGTTGAGAGACTAAGTGAGCAACATCCTGGTACACGAGTGGGACTTATCACCTTCAGCTATCAGGTACATAGTCCTGATTAAAATTAATAGAGGCTTCTCATGTCACTTTTCTGTCTGGTTATGTTGACTAATGGTATTGCTGATGTTTTTCATGATCTCCCAATGTTTCTGCCTCTAGGTGACAATGCATGGCCATGAGAATGTCCCGTCACGCTCCCTGAGCGGTGCCGAGTTGACTGACAAAGGTTACTTGAATGAGGCTGCAGACAGTTTTCCCATTCCGCCTCCACTCAGCCAAACCAAAGACTGCCTACAGAAACAAGTCACGGGGTGAGAAGAGAACAGCAATTACTCTGACCTATTTTTGTTTCTAGCTTGATGATGTTAGTTTCTGAATTACATCGTATTTATTCCTCTTTGGGTGCTCTTATTGCTTTCTATCATGAAAGATTATCAGCAAATGGAGCCACAGCACTGGGTCCAGCTGCTCTCATTGCAATTAGAATGGCCTCCCGGCAGCCAGGCTCAAAGGTCAGTTTGGCTCTGAAAACGTATCTGTGTTCATGCATATTTTATTTCAATGTTTGTTGTTGTAAACAGACCTAGCTCCTTTTTTTTTTTAGCTATGGAGCAAACCTAAAACTGCAAAAATGATTTTTTCAAACAAGATGTTTTGGCTGATTCTATGGAATTTTATTTGAGTACTTGCTTCGCATGGGGAAAAGTACAGTAGAGAGTAGAGAGGGTGGTGTTTGAGCAACAAAGAGCCTGGATTGAATCAGATAACTGGGTTGAATTCAGATTTAAACATAGATACACTTCAGTAAATGAGTGAAATATACAAAAACTTCCCATGTTTTCATACTTCCATCCTGATCTACTATCCCTGCTGATCCTGAAGGTGATTATCTGTACAGATGGGAAAGCCAACGCAGGGCTGGGGAATCTAGAGGAAGAAGACAATGATGCCCACACCCTCCTCTCATCCACAATCTTCTATCAGGAGCTCGGGGAGTATGCTGCAAATCAAGGGTTGGTCATTTCCAAAACTGTTGAATTAATCTAGGTTATAATGACAAACAGCCTGTGAATAAACTTTTGACAGTGTTATTTAGATAGGGGAAAGGACTACCTCTCCACTAACCAAAGTGATGTAATTATAAAAGAACTCTTGAGGTGGAGAAAGACAGTTATTGCTTAGTGGATATAAATGTGCTGCCATGAAGGTCATTCTGAAATATCCTTGTTTCTTCAGTGTGACAGTGTCTGTGATGTCCATAGAAAGAACTGACTGCAGGCTGGATGAGCTGGGAAGACTCGCTGATCGCACTGGAGGCAATGTAAGATACTGTGTTGCACATGATGTGTCTCAGTAACTGGGTCAGGGTTTGTTTTTTTGTTTTTTTATTTTTTTGGGTTCTTGCTTTAAAAGCACATTTGAAACATAAGATGATGCATTTCTTGTTTTTTCAATTTCTGCTGTCTCCAGGTGGTAATAGCTAGTCCCAACAGGTTGCATGCAGAGTTTGACCAAATTATTCAAAATCGGACTGTAGCTACTCACTGCTCTGTGACATTGCTACTACCCAAATCACTGTAAGTAGCAAAATACTAGTATATTCTTCATGAATTATTGGCACTTATGTGATCTTTTTTCAATTTCAAGGTGACAGTTTGGTTGAAGTCCAAAAGATTGACGTGTTCTCTTTTACTACAGGCGTGTGAGAGGAGAGAGGGAGGCCCAGCACAAAGGGATCAGAGAGGTGGGGAATGTGAACTCAGACACAGAGATCACCTTCCAGTTTGGAGCAAATGAGAACGACACAGAAAGTAAGGGAAAGTGGTGGGTCACCGCTGGTAGACTGAGTCATTTTCCTTGGGCTGCAATTGTGCTGGATTTCAAAAGAAAGCAAAGAGTGTGTGCCGACTGGTTAAAAAGAATATTTCAAGCAAGTGATATCTGCTGGAGCCAAGCAAGGAATGCTAAAAGTCACACAATGAGATCACACTGGCAAAGTGAGAGGCAGACAGCCTTTTTATGTGAGAACAACAGCTAATGAAGGAAAAAATTAACCTTGTAAATAAAGCTGCTTAGCAACAGCACACTCTCACATTTTCCTGCATCTAAGACAAAATTATTTCTGTGTCATGTGCTTTTTCCTGTGACTTATAAAACCAGATAAAAAGCCTGGCAGAAACTATTCAAATAAATTACAGATGACCCAAATCAAAGTACTCCTAAAAAAAGAACATTCGAGCAGATTGTTACTTTACACTTACCAGCATCATTTTCGATAATTTTGCTCTTTGCAGTGCCTGCGCCAGCTCCTGGCAGCTGTGTGTCCATCCAGCTTCAGATCAGATGCAGACACAGGGACGGACAGACGATGCTCAGAGTGCTGACCGCCAACAGACGGGTTTCAAATGACAGGTGACAACGATGATGGCACAATCATGACATTTCCTCTACCTCTGAAAATGACCAAAGCACATTACTGTCTCACTGATGTGTTTGCATGTCCGTGGAACCTATGTGAGCCTTAATAAGTCATTATCCACTGACATCTGTAATGAATGAGAAATGATTAGATGTATGTTTTATACCAGTCTCAGTGTACCCTTAAGCAAAGTGATTTTGAGGATCCGATGAGACTGTTGCCGAGCTACTGGAGCTGTCATGCAGAAATGATTGCACCATTTTAAATAATTTCTCATGCATTTTAACATCTAGTTGCACGGTGAACAAACCACTCAGCCTAATCTGCATGCTTCATATACCACACGAAGGTCATGCAATTCATTGTCTGAGCCGACACAAAGTGGCTTGCATCCGTGCTTGCGCAGCAGTGTAATGGCAAAGGCGGCGCTGTAAATGTTGAGGAGCACTCTCATGACTGAATGCAGTCATCCTCCTTTTCAGCTCAGCAGCCCTGTCCTCGCTGTCTGTGGCCATCGTTCAGCTCAACTCGGCGCAGGTCAGTGCCGCTCTGGCTGTCAGGGGCCGCTTCCAGGCGGCGAGGAGGGAGGGCGAGCAGCAGCTGAAGCTCATAGAGAGAGCGATGTGAGTAACAGCAGGACCCTCCAAACCAGTGGCCAGAGTCCAAAAGCTACTGTATGTCAAATTCTGACGGTGGGATTTAGCGCTGGCTGAATTAATTCATTTAACAGTGACTCAGATTTAAGCAAGTTGCTTTATTCTTATTATTGAATACTTTTTTTAGCTTTACAGTTAAGCAACATAACCTGCATAACAAAAGGTCTGGATCTTTGCAGAGAGCATAATCACAACTCAGAGGACAAAAAGACATTACAAGAATGGGTTAAAAACATGGAGCCAATATACTACAACATACATAACTTTAGAAGGGTAAGATTTTACTGTCTTTTCTGGATTCCAAACCTGCTGTTGACCTCACTAAATATGAACATGAACTGAATTCTTTCTTTCTTTTTTCAGGGAAAATCCATGATTTCACACTCCCAGGTAATGCATGTGTTTTTAATCCCAAAAAATTTAGAACACTTAAAAAACATCTGTTCCGCTTGACATTGTTCCTCATTTTTGCATTTCTCAGTCCCTGACAGATGCTGGTGCAGCCCTGCTCTTCACCATGAAGCACAGCAACAGGAAGTCCATTTCACTGAAGAATAAACAGCTCTAGCCAGAGGAACCTTTCCACCTTTTCCCTCGTTGGAAGGTACTTCAGTCATGAATGACAAAGCTGAATACTGCAGATAGACTGTGGCTGATCGAGTTTCCCTAAGATATTCCACCATACTAACCATTCCGATACGGGACGCAACTCAATCCTATGATTGAGACCTTTTCGTTTGCCGGGCTACATATAGAAACTGCTGAGATAGTACACAGTTAACGTGGGTGTGTTTTTTACACTATGGCTGTTTGTGTTTTTACAGTGGCCAAAACACACAGGAAAAACCTGATTCAGTAACACCATTGTGCAGCTAACGCCTAGATCCTCTGTTGTCAGCAGATTACATCTCTCAGCACTATGAAGCTTGTGAGCTTTGTCACAGTTTTTCTAAAAGCAAGATGAGATTGAAATGAATGCAAGTTGAAGGTTGCGTTTTACAAACATAACTAGCATGGAATTACTGCTATTTAACGGACAGGTCATTAAGTCTAGAGCCCGATTTTGCAAAATAGAAAACAATGGAAAAGCTTTAAAAGTTGCAAAGGTAATGAAATATAGAGTACACACAAAATAAGCCTGAGCACACAATAATTGTGCCGGAGATAGAGGTTAAAGCATAAATGGACATTCGTTTTTCCGGAGCGGCCCTCACAACACAAATATATAGCCCTGGGCAAGTATCCGTGGTGCATTTATACGGGATGCCCGTTAGTGCTGGCAGGTTCCAGAAAAGCAGAATATACACAAACCAGCCTTCAATCAGAATCCGCAGAACAATGCTGAGCAAGTAGACACCCACTGCGCCCCTGTTTTTGTGGAGGTTTATGACCATCCTGTCTGTCGGCCCCGCAGCCTCAGCCTGAACCTCCTCATTCCCCCGACACTCCATTTCCACATCCGTCTTCAGCTGGGAGCGTCGTTTAAGGGCCGTTGACCTGAGGTGGGAGGTGAACAGCTCCATGAGCAGGACGGAGACGATAACCAGGACAAAGATGAAGTTCCAGGCTACCACCATGGGTTTGTGGAACTGTCTATTAAAGCAGGATTTGGTGCAGATGTTGTCTCTCGTGCCGTTGCACGTGAAGTCAGCGTCCAGCTTGGTGAACGGTAGCTGAGCGATGAAGAGGATTACGAGGCGGAGGCACAGGAAGCCGAACCACACGGAGCGGCACTTGTAGGTGGTGGTGGTGTCCACTGCTGTCCTCAGGATAGGGATGAGACCAGTTACTATGGCTGCCATTGTCACTTTACCAGTGATGTACTAATGAGGCTGGAAAAAGAACAAATGAATAAGTAAATGAAGTCTAAACTAAAATACAGTTTTTGAAAAATGTTAATGAGAATGTTCTAGATTTGCTACAAAACCTGCCTGAGCTTTTTAGTTTTTCTTATATGAAAAACATATGCCGAAGCAAACGGCAGGCCAGTTCTCTGTAAAATGATTCACACAATGCATGATAAACTCACCTTATAAAAAGCTTCGAGATCAAGGCCTTCCTGTTGTTGTTTTTTTTTGGAGCGACAAAAAAAAGGTTTTAAATGTTTTTTTAAACCACATTGCTTTCTTGAAAGGTTCACTTTCTTCTCATTCTCTGTACATTACTTTTACACTTGCACTGACAGCAGTTTTATCCAAAGTGACTAACAAGAGAAGTCATACGTTAACTTCAGACTGCATTTCTTTTTTTGGGGGTCAGGGATCGTGTATCAAGGGTAACAAAATTTAAGGTGAGGTTTTAGAGGGTCAGCTCAACAGGCTCAAGTCATTCTGAATAGTTACCGTTAACTGAACCTTATGCACTGCTTCTTACAGGAACCCTGTGATGCGAATCAGTAAGTTGTTCGAGGAATATTTATCAAATGATATAACTGCCTATGCTATTAAAAAGCCAAAATAAATATTCAAAATCTTATTAGTAAAATTAGCTCAAATCTACCTATTTTTTTGGACATAAACATGCGTCACAGAATAATTCACTTACCCATAAATAACAAGAATCTTTTAACAACTTAAGATTAATTCACACCCCACACCTTCAGTTTGCATGAATCTTGAATAAAAGTACATGAAAATCATCCGAAGCCAAAAATGTCAAGTTAACTTTTTGTTTTCCTCAAAAATGTCACAGATAATGCATGCAGCCATTTGTACCGTATGCATGAATTTTGATATTTAGCAGTTAAAGCCATCATTAATGGCAGGCAGAAGTAGAATGTACAAGAGCTTACCTTTATGAGCTGCTCACTAATGGAAACAATCAACTCCTGATGTGCATCCACTCTTTTATGGGTTCATGAAGTGTCGCTCTTATGCGTTACAGTGTCTCAGCAAATGATTTGCTGACATGGTGTCGCCCTCCAGTTTCTGCAAACATATTCCAACGTATACACGCCGCACACACAAACACACAAAATGCTTGTGCACAAGAAACGCTGCACAGAGAGGGTTCAAAAACCATACAGACACAATTTATTGGTATAAAATAGTTAATCCTGTGAATAAGCTGGAATGCCACTTACCTTATTTCATGCAACAAAAGAACTTGTCATATAGTAATACAAATGATTAGTTGGTTTAAGAGTCACAAATGGTTTTTCTCCAGCTAACAGTACATTTAAAAAAAGAGAGCAAAATATTTCAATTACAATGCATTGTAAAAAAAAAAGTTGAAGCACCTGTATTATCAGGTGTTGGCTTGTGTGATAACATTCCAACATTTTCATGATGTGGATAAAACAGTTAAAACAAGGTCATAATAGGGTTTTTGAAGCACAGAAATTCTTTTAAAATTACACGGCAATACAAAAAAACTCCAAAAGGTTTTTTTCTTTTCAAATCTCTTTAAAAGTACATAATGAACCATTATATCAAATTAAGCCATTGGCTTAATATATGTTGGAATTCAAACAAAGAAACATCTTAAGATGGTTTAAAGTCCCTCTTCTTTAACTAGGTACTCGGGCAGAGAGTGAAAAGCAGTCACGGGGACGGTCACTGGGACTGTCAGAGACATGCTGCTGGGCTCCGTAGGGGAGGCAGAGTCCTGGCTGGCGGGCGGGGGAGAGGGCAGTGGGTCCGTGTGAATGATGTTGATGTCGCCCAGTGGGGCCGCGGGCTGCGCCGCGTCGGCATGAGTCCGCAAGTGTTTGCGAAGGTAGGCGGCGAACAGGAAGGCTTTGCCGCAGTGAGGGCAGCTGTGAGGTTTGCTGGCGGAGTGGATCTTCTGGTGCTTGCGCAGTCCCGATTTGTTGAGGAAGCCTTTGCCGCAGCTGCCGCAGAGATGGGGCCGCGGCTTGGGGTGCTGCTTCTCGTGCTCCTGTAACTCCGCCAGCTGTGCAAACTCTGCGTGGCAGGTTTCGCAGACGTGCAAACCCAGGGGCACGATCTTAGTGACGGAGGACGGAGCCGGGTCGATGGAATGAAGATTTTCATGGGCTTGAACTTCATCCCACGTTCCGAATGTGGCCTCACAGTGAGTGCAGGAGAACTGGGGGAGAGTAGTGTGGGCGGGGAAGGCCGAGGCGGAGGCAGCCTCCGTGTCCTGCTGCTGCTGCTGTTCAGACTGTTCGGCCAGGTGAGTTCTCTCGTGTTTACGGAGGCTCGAGGACACCACAAATGACTTTAGGCACTCCTCACACTTGAAAGGCCTTTCTCCGGAATGCACACGGCGGTGCTTGTTGAGGCTGGAGCGCTCAGCGAACGACTTGTCGCACTCCGTGCACGAGAAGGGCCTCAGACCTGTGTGGACGAGCATGTGGCGCCGCAGATCCCAGGACGCCACGAAGGCCTTGTCGCAGCTCTGGCACTTGTAGGGCCGCTCGCCGGAGTGGACGCGCTCGTGCACGGCCAGGTCGGCCGGCTGCCGGAACCGCTTGGAGCACTTATCGCAGGGATACGGCTTGAAGCCCATGTGAGCGCGCTGGTGCCGGCGGAAGCTGGAGGGGTCGGAAAACATCTTGCCACACTGCGGACAGAGGAAGGGCTTCTCACCAGAGTGTGTGCGGAGGTGGGACTGGTAAGAGGACAGCTGAGTGAAGCCTTTTCCGCACTGCTCACACTGGTAGGGTTTATTCTGGGAGTGGATGCGCTGATGGCAGGCCAGCGAGGAGGAGCGGGAGAAGGCCTTGCCACAGTCTGAGCAAAGGAAAGGCTTTTCTCCAGTATGCGAGCGCTCGTGGTTTTTCAGGTCCTTCAGCTCCGTGTACGTTTTGCAACACTTGTCACACGCGTACGGCCGGTGACCCTGATGGTTCCTCCTGTGTTTTCTGAACACCGAGGGATCGGCAAAGCTCTTTCCGCACTCGGCACAGAAGTACGGCTTCTCTCCCGTGTGGGAGCGCTCGTGCACCTTCAGCTTGGACAGCGTGGGGTAGCTCTTGGAGCACTGGGGGCACGAGTAAGGGCGCTCGCCACTGTGCTGTGTCATGTGGATCCTCAGGCATATGGCCTGCATGAAGGCCTTCCCACACTCTGTGCACACAAAAGGTTTCTCCCCGGTGTGAGAGCGGCTGTGGTTGCGCAGCTCTGTGGACGTCTTGTACGCCTTGTGGCAGTCTGGACACTGAAAGGGGCGCTGGGAGGAATGCGTACGCTCGTGCTTTGAGAGCTGAGCCTTGCTGGGGAACGTTTTGGCACACTCAGAACAGGTGTGCTGCTGCTGACGTTCCTTTGCATGCGCCGATGCCTTGTGGCTCTGGAGAGCTGACAGACTCTTGAAAGTGTTGGTACATGCAGAGCATTTGAGGAGGTATTTGGCTTTCGGAGGCCTTCCCCTGCCGCGTTTTTTTGCAGGCTGCTCCTTCACTACTTCTTCCTCCTCTTGGCTCTCTTCATCCTGAATGGAAGGAGTGTATTGATCTGCAAGAGGTGGACTGCCAGGCTGAGGGGAGGCCATATTTTTTTTACTGCAAGGAAGATAAAAGAAAGGCCACGTTTGGGATCATTATGATGATGATAATAAGAATCTCTGAAAACACAGGTTATACAAAAGGACAGGCTGCTGACGTCCAATGATGCTTAAATTGTGTTTTGCCGATCTTCAATGACAAAGTAGCAAATGAAGAATCAGAAACTAAATCTGAAAAGCCCGATCACATAATCAAACGAAATACGTGGATATGCATTTCATCACAAAATGGCTGGCATTAGGACCTCAGGGACAATAAGCTAAACGGTTTCATGCCAGAGGAAGTTGGCGATGCAATGATCATTGTGCCCGTCTCTCTGACTCCGAGTGGAGACAAAGATCAAACATCTCAAGTCAACATGATGCTGTTGCGAAGAGCGAAACTCGCCATGTACGTATTTCTTTGGATTAGCTAGCGAGCTACACATTTTAACTAACTCAAAATGGCTGGCTTTAGGACCGCTGGCTGCACGAATTCAGTCGACAGTGCCATCATCATCACCATGGCCATAGCTACATGGCTATAGACACAGCTAATGTTGCATCTAATTTCATTTCGTACACATGAAAGAAATATCACACATTCTTACCTAAATCAGGACATCAATAGTGGCTCGAGAATATTTTTAAAAGATAGCGCATTTACTGTGGGACACGGGGAGTGCTGTTGTCTGGCTGCAAGGTCTCGGACGGCTCTAGGACCACGATGACGACAGCTATCGTTAAACGAGCCAAGTGTGCAACAATGTAAGGCGTTTAATTGTAACATAAGACAACAGAACAGAGATTTTCCGAATATGCCACGTAAAATGTGGTAGTCCCAGTAAAGATTCACACGAACGCCAGACGTTAATAACGACACTCCTTTATAACATAAGTTAGAGCGTGGCCAACGACGTCAGTTAGCTGACGTAGCTGTCAGATGCAGCCAGTGGAATTTACTTTAATTGATTTGCAGAACTTAAAATTTGAGGTTTCCCTTTTGTAGTCTTTTATTCTCTCCGTAACTTATTTCAAATGCCAAGCTTACCAGTTTCTAGCCTGAGGAACTAAAATCATTAGTGCAGCAAGGTACTGTTACGAGGGAAATATTTCGAAGGTGCACATTTCCTGTTTCCTAGCAACAAGAGCAATGTGGGAATAGGGAAGGAAGAAAAAGAGGCAATTGGATAAATATTGGCTCCTTTATTTTGATATGTCCATTTTAAAAATGTCTATGAAGAGATATATAGTTTTTTGTTACATTTAATAATACTACTGCAGGTATTGGATTTTACATGTTTGCTAATGCTGTGATTTTGCTTTCTGGCTACTTGGTGCAATGTTTGTTTAGCTAGCTACGAAGATGCTAACTGGTCGCTAGCGTAAGCATTCTAGTTTATTTTAACAGCAACAGTTAAACATACACGCTTATTCCCAAATTGCATGTGTCGGGGGTTTTGTTATAATATTACAAAAGTCATATTACATTCGCACTACATTTGCAAGCACTTAAGCATTGCTCTTTTTGATTATTTACATAGCTAGTTCACTTACCCTTCTACTGCAGAGATGTTAGTTTTGAGAATACAGAATGTTATAGATTAGCTGTGACTTTATTTTAAGTGTAACTTTTCACTTATATGTGTCTTACTTTGAAATAAAATTACCCCTTTCTGACTTTCTGTATCCTTAGATTTAAAAATATCAACGTTTGCACATTACACTTAATTTAGTTTAGCATGTTTTCACAATGAGCGTTTTTTTAATAGATTTTACTCAGCATTGTCTAACAGACATCTTTTCTCTTATCAACAGCTCTGTCTGCTGGCTCTTGACAAATTGCTGGGAACTGGTTCTCAGTAACCTTGGTGCTGTGGCCCCCCTGGACACTCCTTGGATCTTGCTGTAAACAATTGGATTTCTTTTTTAGATGGAATAGAAAAGACATCTGATGTATTTCCATCTCACAAATTTGCAAACTTTGTGTCCTCTGGACTTAATTCAATCATTATACTGTTATGAGAGTGCAAGACCCTGTCAGGACAACAGGTTTTCCTTGCAAACAGTGCGGTTTGGTTTGTCCCAATATGCCCAGCCTGCTCGAACACATGGATGCTCACTATCAACAAGAGGAAGAGCGAAAATTTAGATGTGATCAATGTGGGCGCTGCTATAGACATGCTGGCAGTTTAACTAACCACAAAAAGACTCACGAAGTGGGCACTTTTCAGTGCACCATTTGTGGGAAAGAAAACTCTAATGCCTCAGCCCTAAAGAGTCATCTTCGGAATCACACATCATTAAAAAAGTACTCCTGTGATGAGTGTGGAAAAGCCTTTCGTTTGGCAACTCAGCTGGCCACACATCAGAGGGTTCATCTTAACAGGAGAGCAAAGGAGGAGTCTTTTAAGAAGGTAGATTCAGATTTTTTTGCACATGAAACAGAAAATCATCAGCCACATCAACTTGATGAGCAGTCAGCCAGTGTTGAGATTCCTCAAGAAAATATCCCTTCTGAACACGGGATGGAAGACGTTTATAAACCACAATCTGAATCCTGTGACGACACAGTAGATAGACCATTTAAGTGTGATTTATGTGACAAATCGTACATACACCAACGCAGCCTGACTAACCATAAAAAAACTCACCAAGTGGGAACGTTTGAGTGCAGTGTTTGTTTCAAACTTTTTAATAACATGGCTGCCCTCTACAGCCATCAGAGAACTCACAAAGCTAGAAATGAGACAGAACCCAGTTTGACAGGCGTGTCACAGGCAGCCCCGACTCTGGATCAATTCTCACCCCAGAGCCAGGACACTCCGGTCAACTTTTGCCATCTCTGTCAGGTACTTTTCCCAAATGATGAGGAGTTTCAGGAACACATCCAAATGCACAACTCTTCTTCTCTTTCATTTGGGCCCCCAGATGCTTTATCAGAAAAGCAAAATCTTTCATATGATAACAGCGTTTCTTCCCCTGAGTCCAATTTTTATTCATCCCCCGTAAACAATTTTCCTTCGGCGTCTTCGATGGATAATTCCCTAAGCTTCGATCTGCCACAGGAAAAGATCTCAAGTAATGGTCATATGTTCTCGGACTGCTGTGTTGATCAGAAACCATTTTCCAACAGCACTCAGGCAGAGCCCCCAGCCACGGACACAAGCGCACACAGCACCGCGTTCATGCCGGCACAGGACAATGGCATTGCGATGAAAGTTGAAGAAACCTCGACTGTTGATGCAGACGAGCGGCCTTTCAAGTGTCAGGTCTGCGGCAAAAGCTACCGGCACTCCGGAAGCCTCATTAATCACAAAAGGTCCCATCAGGTGGGGGTCTACGAGTGCTCGGTCTGTAGAAAGAATTACCCTCACCTGGCCGCTCTCAAAAGCCACCTTCGCCTGCACAAGGCGACGGCGTCGGCCTTCAGCCTCGGCGCAGAGGGAGACTGGCTCTCCCCGGAGCCCCTGACTCTGGACAGCAACCAGCAGAACTGCTCGTCCGCCCAGAATGAGCAGGACGACGGCGTCCACTCCGGTTTTGGCGTCGATCAAGAGAGCGGAGCCGAGAGCAGCGATGGAGCTTTATTCCAGGAATGGGTCAGTCAGGACTTCTCCCAGGATCTGGCCTCTCATCTACCTCACGACGGACAGCTGGCGCAGCGGCACATGTGTGCGGACTGCGGTGAGACGTTTGCAGATATTGCAGGGATCAAGTCTCACAGCTGCCCACTGCTACAGCAGCACGACGGGACCAGGAGTGAGTACAGTGACAGTTTTGACTTTCAGGTGAATGACATTTGTGCTATTGAAAATTCAGAGAACAATGGGGGGTTCCACAGCCCAAACGGCGGCCCGAGCCAAAGCTTCTTTGAACAGAACTTCCATGAAAACGTGAGCAGTGCTCATTTAAATGCAGGGAGAGAAGAAGATGCCGATGAGGAGGAAGAGGAGGAGGACGACGACGGAGACCTTTATCAGTGCTCCTTATGTGGCAACAGCTACACCAGCATGAGGGCTCTCAGGAGCCACCTCCGGGGGCACACGCAGTCCGGCGGAACCCCTGCAAGCTCAGGGCCACCCTCCATGTCCTCCCATGAAGAAGTGAAAGACAACGAGTCGGGAGAGATGATGATCTGCAGTGCGTGCGGGGAAAGCTTCGCCAATAGGCAGGACTTGATCGCTCATCAGCTTCTGCACAACAAGGACCAGGTCGACTACGCGAACAGCCACGCCAAAGAAGGAAAAGAGGAAGCCCAGATCATCTGCGGCAGCTGTGGCGTCTTCTGCGGGAGCTACGATCATCTTGACAACCATTGTTGCACAGTGGAGAGAAATGACGAGGCGGCGCACTGTAAAGAGGAGATAAATGTCGGCGATGTCGCCCAGCCTGAGAAGAAGAGCTTCGCAAGAGAAGCCGCCAACGCTGAGGACCGGCAGTACAAGTGTGAGCAGTGTGGGCGGTCCTACAGACATGCGGGGTCCCTCCTTAACCACAAAAAGTCCCACAAAACAGGTGTGTTCAGATGTCTCATCTGCCAGAAACGCTTCTACAACCTGCTGGCCCTAAAGAACCATCAGAGATCCCACTTTGATGTCAAGAGGTAAGTTAAAAATGTTTCTTATTTTGTCTCACAAACAAACAAAGAAGTTGCCGATGTGTTAGTGATGTGTTTGGCCTCTGTGATGTCACACATGTGCCCTTGTCTCCTTCTCCAGGCACACCTGCCACGAGTGTGGGAAAGCCTTCAAGATTCAAAAGCAGCTCCTGATTCACCTCCGAAGGCACAAAGAGAACCAGGCCAAAATCCAGGAACTCAACAGTCAGATTCAGGCGCTCATGCAAATAAATGGAACCAAATCGGATGGAAGAACTCCATCCTTGAATTCAAACGTCGGTCAGCCTCTCGCCTCAGTCGGGCTCCGACAGCGACTGCCGGAAGAGAGAGCAGACAAAAAAACACTGGAGGCCTCGGTTAAATTGGAGGACGCAAGCGACCAGCGACCTTTCGCCTGTGACCAGTGTGGGCGCACGTATCGCCATGCAGGAAGTCTGGTCAACCACAAAAACTCGCACAAGACAGGTGAATATTACTGTTCCATCTGCAACAACACATACTCCAATCAGCTGGCCATGAAGAACCACTTGCGGACCCACTTCTCATACCAAAAGCACTCCTGCCAAAACTGTGGAAGAGGCTTCAGAGGAAAGAAACAGCTACTGGCTCACGTCTGTACAGACCTCAGAAAGGATGCGCCCACGGGCAGGAGGGGCTTCAAGTCCAGAGCCTTTAAGTGCAAAGAATGCAAGCAGTCGTTCCAAACGGTCGACAAGCTAGAAGCACACCTGTGTGAGGGGCCCTCGGACAGGAAGGACTCGCAGTCACGCGAGGAACGTCCGTTCAGATGCAACATTTGCAGTCGCAGCTACCGCCACGCCGGCTCGCTGTTGAACCACAAAAACACCCACAAGACGGGACACTTCAGCTGCACCTTCTGCTCCAAGCCCTTCACCAACCCCATGGCCCTACGCAACCACACGCGCATCCACACACAGAAGAAGAAGTATGTGTGCCTCACGTGTGGAAAGGCCTTTCGCCTGGCCAGCATCCTGCACAACCACCAGAGGGTCCACAATCGGGTGCTGAGCCACTTCAGCTGCTCCGCCTGTGGGAAAAGCTTCCAGGGACGGTCCGGCCTGAAGAGGCACCGCTGCCACAGAGGTCAGGGCAGCCGGCAGCTGGGAGTCCAGCCCTCAGAGCGGGCAGACAAATGCTTCATGTGAGTTAAGAGCCTTCCTGTGGAATGAGGCCCGTGCCTTTTTTTTTTTTTTTTTTATTGGTCATCTCGAGGCTAGTTTACATTTTCCTTTAAACAAAACCGTCCCGTGCTCTTGTTAAACGTTGCTTTGTTTGCATAGTGCTGACAAACACAAATTATCTGTCTGAAACTCGGATACATCTACAGTTTGTGCGCGCCGCCGGCTGTATAAATATTTGCAGGAGTTAAGTGCTGCTAACCTGATCAAAATTTTGTTTTCCGACAAAAATGTCCTGCCTTGCTCATTTGGTGACGGCTTCATATTGTTCTTACCGTAGGTGTGACCTGTGTGGACGCTCCTACCGCCACGCCGGCTCCCTCCTCAACCATAAGAAATCGCACTCTGAAAACCTTCACCACTGTACCTTGTGTCTCCAGACGTTCCCCGACCCCGACACTCTGCAGATACACTCCCAGATGAGGCGCCACTGCTGCCCCGAGTGCGGCAAGACCTTCTGTCTGGTGGCGCACCTGCAGAGCCACATGGAGGTGCACTCCAAGGAGCCCGCCGCCGCCGCCGCCACCTGCCAACAGCACCACCACGCGGCCGATGAGCCCGCGGGGAACGCCGCCCGCTGGGACTCGAGAACGAGCCGGTCCAACAGAGCGGCGCGGGCCCCCAGCCCCGCCCCCCCGCCGCCTCTGTCCCACATGCCGGACAGCGTGTCCAGCTCGCATAGCGGCGGCGAGGCCGGCGAGGAGAAGAGCCACGTCTGCGACTACTGCGGCCGCACCTACCGCCACGCCGGCTCGCTGCTCAACCACAAGAACAGCCACAAGACGGGCTCCTTCTTCTGCGCCGTCTGCCAGAAGGAGTTCACCAACCTGATGGCTCTCAAGAACCACCGGCGCATCCACACCGAGCCCAAGCGCTACCAGTGCCTGGAGTGCGGCAAGGCCTTCCGCGTGTCCACGCAGCTCATCTGTCACCGGAGGATACACACTAAGGAGAAGCCCTTCGCCTGCCTGCTGTGCGACAAGAGCTTCTCCAGCAAGTCCAACCTGCGACACCACCAGAAGATGCACGAGAACGCCGCCCAGACCTACGACGCCTCCTTCGGACTGGACGCCAATGCGTTCATGGACCTGGACATGGGCTCTTTCCTTTAAAGTGGTCCCCCAAAGCATGCAGGTGATCCCCTCTTCCAAATTCTCCATCCCTCTATCAGTAATTGTAAAACTTTTCTGTCTTTTTTTTTTTTTTAATTCTCAGAACACTTTCCCTTGGCTCTATTCGCAGCTCACAAGGCACATTTTAGCCCTCACTTCCAGTTTTACCTCTCTAAGGGATGGCAGCATCTCTGAAACATCGGCCGGCCTCGGCCCACTTTGAATGAGGCCTGAATTCTCTCTGTAAATACGCAGGATTCTCCGCTCATCAGCCTGTAAAAGCCTATCCAACCAAAGTAAAGCAAAAAGTTACTCACAGCCCAGGTCCACATGAGAACGTCATAACTGATAATTACCATGCTTTCTAAAGACAATACTGTGCTAACTCCTGGTATTTATTTATCGTGTTCAGTGCCTCTGTAAGTTCTGTAGGAAACTAAATATACAAAACTATATATAACTAGTGTTAACGGACTCCTCAGCTTACTTTGGGAATTCACGTACAGTGAGGCTAGCCTGTTATTTTTCAGTCAGAAACCTCTGACTGCGTCCAAAGGTCAGTGGCAAAGTGAATGAATCAAACGAGTTTATTAACTAGATGTAGTGCAAATGATATTCAAGTTTACTCTGAGTGACACTGTATGCTAATAAAATAAAAAAAGACATATTTCTAATTTATTTGTTATCCGCGTGTAAATTTTATGAGGGGAACATTTTCTGAATGTTGTCGGGGTCGGGGGGGGTGTCCTCTGAAACTTTTGTAGCCTTTAACAGACCTTCTCATCAGTCCAGTTACATCGTTAGCTCTCAGTTACAACAGGCGGGAATGTCGGCTGCACTCAGGGCAAAAAGGAACACACCTGCTGTGTAAAACACTGTAGATGATCCGTTTCTACACTAAACAAAGCAGTTCTGTCCTCCCTTTGTGCCATTTGAACACTTTTGTAGTGTCGTTTAGTGTTCGGGTCACTGGTCACTCCGCTTAAAGCACATGTTAAAACAGGTTTGGGGTATTATGGGAAGCCTCAAGTTCTACTGATGTGTCAGTGCCTAAAATGTAGGTTGATTGTAGCAGTTTGGAGAAAAAAACTTCCTCATGCTGCGCCTGTTATGCTCTAAGGTTTTGACATCATCCTGTCATTTCTGTGTTGTTGTTTTTTTTCTACTCTCATAAATCTGTGAAAAAAAATAATCGAAGAAAGCAGTTCATGACAGTATTACAAACTGAAGGTTCACAGTTACTTTATCCCTCAAAGTTTAGTTTAGAGTTACATTAGTGACCTTTAGATGTTTTAAATCACTTATATTAATGGAACTAAGCAAAACATTGTAGATTTTTTTTGTTTTTTTACTTTTTATGTGATCCACAAGTTGCTCAACGTGCCTGTTAGTCTGCGTTTGTTTTTTTTCCTCCACACGAGAGCAGGGGTGGACAGATGGCCTTTGTTCTCCTAACAAGCTCAAACGGTTTTGTTTTTCATGCCTTATACGTTGCATTTGATGACGATTGTGTTCAGGCTTGGCCTACCTGCTACTTAATGCCTCGTCCGGCTCAACGGTGCAAAACACACTGTCCTCACAAAAACTCACAGCTCTCCAGACGGCACACGGAAAGGATGAAGCCTCAGCTTTGTGATTTCTTTACTTTGGTCTGTTTCCTCCAAGGTTCCTCTCTATTGTTTGCACATGTACGAAAGCCTGAGGGGGGACAGGATGTCCATGATAACTCAGCGTCTTGTTTGTTGAGAAAGCTGCTCAATGATTCACTTCAGACGGTGAATTGTGGGTCGTAATATTTCAAGCAATATGAACAAAGTGTCATTACTGTGCGCAAAGTGAGGATATCGTTGTGGTTTGGGCTTTTTCTGGCTCTGAGCATGGCGGCGTGGGATTTAGCATCCACACGCTGGCATTTCTGTGCCGCTCTGTCCCAGTATTTCTTAACGTGTGTGTGTCTGTGCTCATAATTTAGATGACCTCGCCGTTCCTTTTTTTTTTTTTTTAACACCACGGTAGCCTGTAACATAGGAAAGTACACATGTACATTTTAGTTCCAACTTTAGACGTGCTTATTTTTCTACTTTGGTTCTCATATCTTCTGGCACTTAATGTTGACTTTCCTTACACACGTTTAACTTCGGAACTCTGTAAATTGTAAATTAGGATGAAAATGTTTGATCTCTGTACATTGGCCACAAGGTAGTTTTGTTTTTCAGCAAGAGAGATCTGCTGGATTAGATATTCAGTAATAAAGGAAGCATCTACCACAAGTTCCTATTCATTGCCTTTTCAGTTCTTCACAGAACCTGCCTCGCACTCACTTCATGTTTGTGAAACTTTTCGCTCCGAGGTGTAGATTTTTATGTCCTCATCAGAATCTAGTTCAGAGTGAGAAAAATATTTAAAGCACAGTGTAAGTTCAGTCAGAAATGAGGAAAATATACAGTGTGTTGTCCTCCCCCTGTAACCACAGTAGTCATCAAAACCTTTTTTATCATACGTTACAAACTATGGGCACCTCTGGTGTTTTGCAGATTAACAACAGAACTATGTGAGTAAAACTTGTCTATTTTATTGAGAAAATACATTTGCTACACAAAGCAGTTTACAAGATTAAAGTCAGTATAGGAAGCCAGTGCATGTACAGTATTTGAAATAAGAAACACAAAGCAAGAGAAAGAAGCAGGAAATGTTAGTATTGCTCAGTAATGGTGAGGGCTGGCCTGCTGGAAGTTTCACAAAGGTCTTCACTGGAGTCCCTTTAAAAATGTGCTTGTATTCTTACAGTCGTTGCTTTTGCAACGCTGCAAGATGCTCTAAAAATAAATAACATAAACATCTTTTTCTCTAAGTATCTGTGTGTGAAATGATTCCATGGTGTTGCTGCCAGAGGGCGAGCTTTCCCCCCCAAAAGCAGACAGATCCAAGTAATGGCCTGAAACATTGTCAGTGATGAAACACCACTAAGGTTCTCACGAGTCCCATGCTGAGTGAGCTGGTCAGAAAACAGAGAAGGAAAGTGGAACCCTGTCCAAGGTTCTTGCTGCTTTCAGCTGCTACAAAAAAAAAAATTTTAGGCTTTCTGTCTGATCTAAAATGATTTTACAGGTCAAACTTACCAAGCCCTGTAATTGTGAAGCTCCAACAAAAACACTGCAGGTTATTTTCTTCACTACAGTACATTCCTCCCAGCATTCCCACATGTTAGCAGTTTGGGATCGTGTGTCTAGTGTTTCAAGCATCCCGTCCTTCAAGCACTGGGATGGTGATGGGAATTTTTTGGGTTGGAACTGTAAAAAATAATAACAATTTTAAAAAAAAGAACTATCTCACCTAATACGTCGTGACGGCGTCTGTCACAAAAACGGAATGGCCCGAAGAACAGGATCTGTGTTGGTCTGAGGAGATGCAGAGACAGTGCACGAGTACAGTTTGTTCCCTTAATCAGCAGCCTCGCCAGGCCGATAAAATGACAGGTACATGGACATACTGGCAGCCACGAAGTCAAGGATACATTTCACCTAAAAGTAGCTACATTCAAATGGCCTTAATGTGCCACACAGTATATCTTACTGACGCGTACTTTTGGAGGCTGCTGTTGTGGTCGTGGAGGAGCAGGACGAGCCCGGCTAATCCGGCTGGTCAGCGCGGGCTCACACTGAGTCACATTCACTGGAGTCCGGCCGGAAAACAGCACAATAGAATACATGAGCATGGTGTGTGTGGATCCTCCTGGAAATCCACAAAGGTCCACCACGGACGGGAATCCCAATTCAATGGAATATAAAGGCACATAAATCCTGAAGATGATACCACGTGTGTGTATAATGTTGTTGCTATTCCTACGGAGGTGAGGATGTTGCTCTGTGGAAGTCCTGTGGTCACCAGTGGATCTACACTGAGCTTGAGAACTGAGCACATCTCCAAACCTAACAGTCTAATAAATTAAAATAGTCCGATTCTGGCCACGGTACACCATGGAGTTAAGGTATACAGTTCATCGTCCGGAGGCTCCTCTGTCGGGCTCCTTGCTTCCGCGCATCTCTTTCCAGAGGAAGATGAGGCTGTGGAGGCCATGACAGGGATTCAGTTCTCTGTGAAACACCTTTATATCATCTTTAACTAAGAGCTGTTCAAAGTTTGTGACAAACAGGATGCGATTCTGCATGTAAAGTCCTCGATATAAAGATGGAAGCTACTATGGCAATGCAAGACTTAAGCATACATAAAAATAAATAAGGCATAACACTAGTTATGGCAGGCGTGCGTTAGCTTTAACCCAACCCTTTAGATATAAAAGCTCATTTATCAGGCTTTCATTAGAATTCTTGTGGTGGTCACAAATGCTATTATGGGTGAAACGGTACCTACTCATCTGTTTAAGCTTGATAGAGTGGCCCCGCAGTCTCCTCGATGGGCTCTGTGATAAATCAAGACAGGATGTTATGCGTACAGGTGTTCCCAATAACAACACTGATGACTCTATTATTCATGCACACAATACCAGAACCCCGGCAGCCCCAGCATGAACCAAAGTCAGCCATCCACAATGTGATTATCTCCACCTGCCCCTACCCTAAGCCATCACATATGAAACAGACTTTGTTCTGTTAGGAGAAGGAAAGAGAAAACACTTCTGGTGGTTTGCCATTTGGACCAGACACAGTGAAAGATTTTCCTCCCTTGGCTCCTTTTTAATTTCTGTCTTTTCATCCATTCTATCGCTGTTCAACTTGAATGCAATATTTTCCTTTTTTATGAGCCACTCTCAGTGAAAAGGCTGTCGGTTCAAGTCAAGCTTCTGTTCAAGTAAAGCAAAAAAAAATAATTGCCAGAAAAACAAGGCCAAACCGGAGGATGGGAATTATTTGGGCACAGATGTGATGCTCTCTGTACGCCCTGGCCTCACAAAATGGTGAGTTTCTCTCGTGAGTCTTACCGCGTAGAGGCCGTTTATGGGACTTGCGTCTGTGCACCATGACCCCGATGATCAGAGCAGCGCTGACCAGCACCACAGCCAGCACCGAAAAGCTGGTGATGGCTGCAAGCTTCCACACGTCGGGCGTCTCCTCCATAGGTTTGCCTGCAGAGCACAAAATGCAGAAAATGAGGAGACGTCTCAGCTGGAGGAGAGTGGATTGTTTAGGTAAGTCTGAAAGTATCACCTGCTTTATATTAAAAAAAACTAAGGTTGTTACATTATAATATAATAGTTATAATATAATATATAATATAATTAGTTATTATTAGCATAATTTTTAACAGAAGGGGTAAAACCTGTTTTGAAGCGATGTTTAGCTCTGGGATGTCAGCGTGATAAATAAGAAACACAAAATGGACGTTAACCACAGTTAGTGTGTAATATCTGTTGAGTCTCACATGTATTGCATGACGGGGTCTTCGGGTACTGTTTGCAGGACGCGCAGGGCACACAAACGCCCAAATCGGAGTTCCAAAACTCGGACTTGCCACACTGACCTGCACACACAGAAGCAGAAGGTATTTCAAATGTCCATGGTCAGAGCTTCACTGCTGTGTGTCCCACATACACAGCGGAGGCTCTGTGAACATGAGCTGGAATGAAAGACAAGTTTTCACAGGTTTAAAGAGATTAACGTACAACAAAAAAGGAAAAAATTCTGACAAAAGAAATTGAGCTAAATTGTGCTGAAAGTGGAACTAATGTTTCCCGTTTGTGATCTGGTCTGTGTGTAAGTTTGAGGAAGGATGTAGGATCATTTTATAGTTTATTCTCGTTGTAAGATTGTGCAATTTTTCCCCATTTTCTGTTGTAACTATGAACTGTTTTAAGCTAAACACTCTAAGAAACAGCACCAGTCTTGGTTTTTCTGTTGAAAGAAACCAAACATAACTGCCATGTTTTTTGCCCGGAATACAAAAAAAAAAAAGACGCAACCAAACAAATTACATTCAGAGGAAATTCGGTCCAACAAACTGTGACCCGACGATGACACCAGATGAACTTCTTCTTCAGACAAAACGAAAGTGGGAAATTTCTCTGGGTGAAACCACTGCCAGGGAGAACACGTCAGCCTCTTTTGGGGCTGTGAACCGGCAGACTGTGAAGAGCAGGATGTGTTCTCACAAGTCTCTTCCTTTGAACTGTTTGTCTGCGCGTTTTGAGATTTCCAGAGAATATATGTTTCTGCTAGAGGGACAGAAAATGTCTGCGTCTGCGGAACTGAGTGGAAAGCTTAATGTCTTTTTATGAGCAGTGACATGCAGTGGTGGATGTCTTTTTATGACAGCCAGACAGCTTTACTGTCAACACCGCAGCTCCCAGATGTTGTGCATTTGTGAGCGGTGGGCCGGGTTAACAGTGCATGTTATCCACTGCATCCTGGCTTAGGTTAAATGGCACCATGCATGTAGATGGCTCGTTACCCCTGAAAAGACTATATAACACAATGTAGTTCCATTACAATGTCGGGCACAGACACCCGTGAAAGCACTGCAGGTAATGTCACAAGGAAACAGTTGGATGGATGAAATGATAATAGCCTTTCTTCCTTTTCAGGGTCTAACAGATTTGCATAGACTAACTGTTTCTTGCCTACTATGATAACAAGGAAAAGCAGCGAGGCTGAAATGAGTCATTCGTTGTGGTCTATTGTGTGTTCAGACGCTTTCGCTTTAATCGTCATTTAGCAGCAATAGCAGAACCAGCCCGAGATGAGTCTGATGCAAAACGAGCTAGTAAAATGACTGTGTGGGAAATTGCAGCAGCCGCAATGACAACAAAGCCGTGACGGGTGACACTGACAAGACCAAAAATACAAACAAAAGATCGATCGGTGACACCTTAAACACACTGTGCATCTTTGCGGAACTTAAGTTTATGTTAAAAGTAAATCTTCCTAAAACCTTTCTGGTCTGCAGTGTTGCTGTGTGTGTGTTTGTGTGTGTTTGTGTGTGTGTGTGTGTGTGTGTGTGTAGTTGAGCAGCAGTGACATGCAGTGGTGGATGGTGAGGTATTCCCATCACTGACCTCAGAGCTCAAGCACTCCACTATATAAGGCCTGTGTTCATAACCTTGCCTATATGTGATGCAACAAAGTATTACCAGCAAATTCAAGAAACGTAAATCAATTCTCAGAACTGATGGGGCAGTATTTATTAGAAATTGAGTCACAGCACGATAATGTGGGGGATGCTGAACAAAGGCTCAGAAATGGTCTCGATTTTGTGTGGTTTAGGTTAACACCCAAAGGTTAAACCTATACCTGTTCAACACGTCCATTTTCAACTAAGATGAAGCGATTACGAGAGGGCAGAGGATGAAAATCTACAAGTTGACTTGTCCTGCACTTTTCTATTTCCACTCTCTCCCATAATCTCAAGTCTACACTGAGGATTTACCTGAGAATGACTAGGAGCAGATGCTCTATAAAAAACACAAACGGCAGGCTGACACAGAGGCGTGTGCATCGAATAAATAATGAGAGATAGATATGGCATGACTGGTCCAAACTACCAAGAACTATTGAATGGAAAATGATCAAATGATCTGTTTGAGCATCTCCATTAGCTGAACTGACTGCTATTACTTAATATCTGGATCAAACAAACCTTAATATTACTATAATAGAGGAAAGATAATGATTTCTTAAAGAAATGCAGATTTAAAAAAAACAAACTGATGGCACAGCTGCGAATGAAAAGTGTTTCCTTCCACTTATTAGGAGCACAGCCTCTTCCTGTTTCTTCTTAAGAAATGGGATTCCCAGCCTCTGGAACATCTGTACCGTGGCAAGTATGTGGCCTCAGATCAAGCACAGCAGAACTTGAGATGATCCCTGATGAGATTACTGCCAGGCAGTCAGGGTTTCCTCAAATTCAACTTCAAGGTTTTTCTCTTAAATTCCATATCAAGCTAAAAATATTCACAGAGAATCTGAGTGCTGTCACATTCAGAGTCAGCAGAGAAGTTGGAATTTCTGATCTATGACCAGAGAAAGGAGCTGGGATATCAAACTTGGCAGCATAAAGCTTCTAAATCTAAACTTATGCATTTGAGCTTGTCCTCTAGGGTGGAGGCTTACAAGCGTTAAAAAAAAAATGGTCAGCAAAAAAAAAAAAAGGTGTAGTGTGTTGATGAATGTTTGAAAAAGAAAAAGCAACAATGCAAACCCTAAGGGAGCAATTGTAGTAATTACTTTGGATAACACAGGAACTAAGAACAAAAATACACTTAAAGCCTTGAACAGTTCTTGTAGTAATCGGTCCTCTGGGGATTCCGTTTCACAAAGATACATCATTACTGCACCACAGCCAGTAAAGGCAAACCGATCCTCTGAACTTTACTCCAGAAATATTTCAGATTTGTCTCATAAGTGACACATCTGAACTTGAAATCCAAAACCAAGTGAACGCGCACAGTGTGATCTCCTCGGTGTGGTTCATCGTTAAACCAGCTGCAGCCAAAAGCCACCTGCTCAAAAAGTCATGTTTGAGGCATTTGGACCTCTGACTGTGCTTACATTACGGCCACATGCTCAGGCCCTTAGAGACCCCCTCACCCCCCCCCCCCCCACCCCCTCCACCACGGCCTGACTCATTTTAATGCCAGGGTCACTATGAAATGTGTCACAGCTCGGATTCTTGGAGGCCTTAATCATCCAAGCAGACCCTGACTGGTGACTGACCTTTACCCAAACCTGAGAGGAGCACAGTGACTCAAGGCTGCTGATGCAAATGAGAAAAAATAACAGTTTCTTAGTTTCTTAGACTTGGCTTTTTAAGGTTTTATTTCATGGAGCAACTCCACCTTTGCATATGTCTTCTGTGTATTTCAGACTTCTGCCTGTGCTTCTTATGAATTACAAGGTAAAATTGGAGAAACACCCAGAAAAAAGCGTTTGGAGCCACCTGAGTGTCTTCCTGAAAGCGGTCCAGATATCTCATCCGACAGAGATTGTTTTTGGGTGTGGGGCGCTGTACTTTGTCACGAACTGCAAGGAGGTGGGTGTAGCAACAGCTGATGTCCAGATGTGGAGACGGTTTTCATGAGTGAGTCGTAGCTGGGAGCGATTTTGTTTAAACTTTAGTTAGTATGGCTTTTGGTGACTCCACCGGTAGAGGAAATGCCCCTAACCCCACTCCTGGTTACAGATGTTATAATGCTGAGTGTGATGTCCTACCTCTGAGATGAAATACAAACTTTAGGGCAAGTAATAGCTTATTTTTGTTGGGTTTTTTTTTAAAGAGACCCTGAGAATGTGCAACTCTGTGTGAAAAACGGACACGGGCCATGCTCCCTTTCCATGTGGCCTGTCCTTCTCACAGAGGGGCACGGGTGGACGGGGTGAGATAAGGCGATCGGAATGCGGAACCGGTGAGAAATGCAGCTGGTAAAGGAAGCGGCTCTGTAAGCAGACCCGCTATCTGGGCTCCATTAAAAAGGAGACCCAGACTTCCAGTCTCTGATCCATGTTTCACAGAGAAAACAAAGCACCGATTGTGTGAATTAAACTTTTGTGGCAGGACGCGAAAGAACTCCCGGGATGACGCGTTAAGTTGCCCTGTTGAACATTATTTCTAAAAAAAACTGGTGTTTAAAAAAAAAGGAAATTAAAGTTCTTTTTTTACTCACTTTTCTGTGCGCTCACGCCGTGGAGGCTGGCCACAGCCGCCAGAATAACTCCGCACAGCGCGCAGAGGACGGTGGAAGCCATGGTGTTTGCGGAGGGAGAGCTGCTCGCTGTCTGCAACACAATTCCCGAAAGTTCATCTGATTAACAATCCCTGCTGGTTTTTCAGCATGGAAAAGCGAGCATCAGAGTGAGTCATACGGAGGAGTCTGCGCCTTGTTTTAACAGCGCACACACCCACGCTAAACAGCTCAACTCCTATGAGTCATTTCCTATGCGCTGCGCGCTCTTGTGCGCGCGGCCAGACTCACAGGACTGCAGTAAAGTTAGCAACATATACTGCAGTAAAGTTAGCAACATATTCACAGATTCGAGCTTCCCGCGTCAATAACTCGTAATCGAGACATTTTTAAAACACAGCAAATGCCTCTTTACAACCGTAGTAGCGCACACAACGGACTACAACCTC